CTAAAATTGATGTGTTTAATAGATTTGTTTATTCAATACTCTGATATTAAAAATCTAAAAAATCTGTCTTTATTAAGTAGTTATATTTCTAACTCATGTTTTTATTACAACTAGGATTGGCTGAGATGGTCTAGTGGAATTTAACAAAGACATAGACATCACAAAATGTACTACGTCGCTCATGAGATATCGCATGAATTACTATTTCAGAAGACTAAAGGCGATGTTTTGTATTGGCACCTTTATGAAATACAAAAACGTATACATTTTTAAAATAAAAATCATTTCGACATAGATACTTAAAATTAATCACATTGTAAGTTATGTAAAAATTACTGGAAATCTTAGTATGTACTATGTAAATTTTATAAAATTAAGTTTTCTCATAAAATGCAACCATTACTACTATTATGCAAGTTTTCTATAATCTGAAGACATAGCAGCTATGTGATATAAGTGAAATTGAGCTATATTCTGTCTAGACAGAGTTTATATTTAAATGAACTTACTGTAGAGAATGTCGACGTGAGATGACTAAAAGCTGAGTATGCGGTCGCAGTGTGACCTGATATTGGCATATTTGACTTTCAAGTTTTACATCTTTAGTACACATGGTATTAAATATATTCGCAAATTTTCCTCCTTTGTTTTACATTTAATAATTGTTTCGACATGTTGTCTATGTTACTTCAAATACATTGATCTGTAACTGTAGGGATGGATGTATGATCATAGCAACTGATTTTAAATAATTAAATTACCTACCTCAACAATGGCGATAAAATTCTTAATAGTTACTAACGTTAGTACTTTGATAGAGGTACCTAGTAACTATGTAATACCATTGTTTGTCGCAGTTTATTGAAATAAAATATAACTTGAAGGAACATCTCATTCATTAATTTAATTGAGATCTGGTTGATGGTGCTCTTGCTACTCCCACTATTTTTGGTAACTCTCTTAATCTTGATATGACACAACACTTTTTTTAATTCTTCTATCTTTTATAGTGATGTTTTTAAGCTCGTCGTGCTATTTGAATTATCCCCACGTTTGTAAAAAGGAAGATCTCAATACAGGTAATTGGTATAATTTTAAAATTAGTTTCACTTGCATGGACTAAATATTTAGATCTAAAAACCTAATTGAAATATACCTTTAGAGCTATTATGTGGAGAGGTCTACTTGTGTGCGTGTGAGTTATACTTTTACAAATAAGGAGTGTGTAAGAATACTGGTCATAGGAAAGATACTATTCTTTTGTGTTAATTTTCACTTATATATCTATTGTAAATGTTTCTGAGAAGTAATTACTGTCAAGCTGCATTTGGTAAAGTCTTTATTATTGACATAATTACTTGAAGAATATTTCCTTTCAACACTTAATACTTGTATTGTTTAAAAATAAGAAATGGAAAGAAATCAGATGGTACATAGATCATGATGGTCATTACTTACTAACATTATAAATTTGAATGTGAGTTTTTTGTTTGTTACCTCTCACTGGCTTAACCATTTACTATAAAATTTGGTATACACGTATTATATGGGATGGATAAAGATGTAAGTTGTTTTTATAACGGTCAATAAATGTTTACTGAAAATAAAAATTGTAAATGGCTTTTTTATAAATTGTGAATTAAAAACCTAGACAGTATGACAATCAAAATGAAGTGCGATAAAAAAAACGAATGACGGTTGAATTGAACACAATTTTACTGTACTAAGTATTTGTGTAATATTATATTACGAAAAAACTAAAAATGCATCACAGCGCTGACTATAGCTCCGGCCGGGAATTCCTCGAAGGCTTCGGTGGTACTTTCATATGATTCACAATATTCACACGTAAAATAGTCGCGAGTCGAGCGTTGTTCTTTAGGTACAGTTTTTTACGAGGAATTATGCCACTGACGCCTTTGCATGTTAAGCGCGCTTCGACATCGGCGCAGGCGCAGCTTGTTTGATTTGCGGTTTTAACGCTGGGTTAATGCTTTAAACAGGATTTTGACTGGTTTGATTTCTACCGGTATGCGGCGTGGAGTATTTTTGTATTTTATAATGTGATAGCGGTTCTGGGATGTGCACTAACCACTGGCTTCCTCGATAATTATTTTGATTTGTTTATAAATATATTATATTTACCTACTTAGATTACCTGATTAGTAAGTTGATTACTACATATCTACCTGTAATGTATGATAATGGAATGGTAACCCCGCCTGCGCTATCGGTATACACTAGCGAGTCACCCGTGAGGGATGATTGGTGAGGATGAAGCAGGTCAGTTAGCCTACCGTGACGAATCTAACAATAAATCAATCACGATGGTTTCCAGGGAGAACCACGAGGAGGTCGACTTGATATACTCTATTGCTAACAATGAGGCTACTAATCCCCATTACTAACAATCCCTTCTCCCGTTATGAACCTATTTAAGAGACGATTGATTTTGTAAAATTTCTTAACAAGACACTAAAATATCTTTTTGGTTCACGGGTTTCTTAGGATATTTATCAGATTAGTCATCACATGGATATTTTTTGTCCGTGTAAGTACTGTAAGTTCAAAGAAGGTAAGGAGCCTATTACTAAACTAATTAGTTTAGTAATCGGTTCTTTAGTAAGATAGTTAATAAGGTGATCTCCACTAATTGTTATCTAGGCGTATTATAATTATTAGCAATTACCATAACGCACACTCATTTTGTATGCATAAAATTTTTGCTTTACTGCCAAATGACCTCGCCTTCATGGAAGATGCATTCTATTATAGTTATACTAGCTGTATCCCGTGGTATCAGCTAAGTTAGGATATAACCTACTCGTATACCAAATTTCGTTCAAATCTGTTTAGTAGTTTTTGCGTGAAAAAATAACAAATATCTATCCATCGTTACTAACTTTCGCATTTATTATATTGACTTTGAATAACTGCATAAAACTCTGCATAGGTCATTTTACTTATTTATTTTTATGAAACTTCAAAAAGTAGGAGATATTATTTCGTTAATTCAAAACCAATATTGCCAATTTACAATCAATAAGCTTCACTCGCTATGTGGTCCCGAATAGGCCATCCCTTCTTTTCCTCTGGGTGTCGTAAGATGTGACTAAGGGAGGGCGAGGGATGGACAGTAACGTCTCTTTTAAAACATCTCAAAAGTCTAACTGCGGTTACCAATCCGTCTGCCTAACGTGGTAACTACTGGCAAAACCCTCCAAGGGGGAGACTTATGTTGATCAGTGGACAGTTAAAGGCTGATATGTTGATAGGATAAAACTTCATTTTCGTGTTGGTCCCATATTAATTTAGTCGTAAATGTAGTCGCTATTTTTTGTTTTTTTTTTTTTTAATTATTAAGAACTGAGAAGTTGAAACATTTCTCTATTTTTGTGTAGTTGAGATCAATAAATATTATTATTTTATTGCAAACATAGTCATCGTCAGACCATTGTAAACCACTTGCCCGGACACGGTCTCAAGCATTGTTGAACACATTTGTATAATTTAGTTAACTGCTAAAAGCAATTGCTTATGTGTCAAATGTAGCCAACCTATTCATTGCCACTTTAGTCTAGTAATTCTGTTAACTACTAGACGTTACCCGCGGCAATGCTCACGCTATACAGATTCCCATGGAAAACTTTCTTAGCTAAGACATCCACTGAAAACCTAGACTATCATCCTGTCCATTTGCTTATTACCTTAATATGTTAAATTGACTTTATGTTTACACAACTTTATAAAATAAACATTATTTCTCATTATTCACATTGATAAAATATACCTTGCCTAGTCGGAAACTTGTGAAACAAAGAAAGAATTTGTTCATATAATACCGTGACAATTAACAGTTTTTAAGTTGGGCTAATATTCGTACGTACTCCATTATATAATTTCTGATGATGTAGTGATAAATATGGAGACATCAATTGAAAAAAATATTTATTTAGCTACGATAACTCTTAGTAGAGCAAAAAAAAAAAAAAAAATTCGAATGCTTTACTGACTTTTGATACACGATTTCATCACAGTATTTTTTATGTCCAGGTTGATTATGATTCTTAGCCGTAAATCTATAACTTTTGATTAATATTGATGGTAATATACTTTACTTCAATGTATTTCTCAACAACATAAAAGAAATAAAGCAGCTACGCCCTTTATCTGGATAAAGGGTAAACTGCTTCCTGGATGTGGGATTGGTATTGACTATTTACAATAATGCTCATTAAAATAAAATAAAAACTGCAAAAGCTTATTTTATAGACGACTTTTATAACTGTTTGTCTTTTTGTTTCCTGTGAAAATAGAACAGTCTGGTCACTCATTTTACCACTATTTTCTCTGTATCTAGGCTGAATATATTTCAAAAGTGATAAAAAAATACCGGTCCTGTAACCCAATTCTTATAACGGTATTGTATGTATTCAGCCGTTGAAATCATTCGTAAATGGCTCGTACTCGAATGGTGCTGATATTAAAAAAAGTTGTCTTATCGAAATATCGTGGAATCTTATCGATAAATATAAAAAAAATATTATATAAAAAAATTATAAAAATAATGTGTACTTATTACAAGGGTTTTATAAAATATTTTTATGTACGAATGGAAGTAAAAAACATATTACGCCAACCCCAAATAGGTATGGGAAAAAGGCAGGAAGAAGAAGATTAAAATAAAACATAAAAAAATATGGGAAAGAAATTGGTTTTTTTTTTCGTTAACTAGTTAATTGATGAGAACTATATGCACGTGAATACATATTTTATGTAAGACTTGGATCAAACGGCTACTTTAATGATATATGATCTATTTTAATTTACGAGAATTGAATCGAGCTTCTAGTGAAATATGCTATCAGTGATATTTACCACTTTTCATCAAACGGACCGCCAATTTGTTTGCCATTTAATGATAGTATAAAAAAAAAATACAAAAAACAGTGAGTATAAAATATATAAATTATTATTTAACTATTTTTCTTTTGTTACAGGAAACTAGGGTTAGAGTTGGTCCCTCGAATGGGAGCCACCGCAGTGGACCCTGAAGAAATGAGCCTCGTTCAACTATATAGTGTACATTTAGAAAGTGCTGAGAGAGCAGCAGCGGTTAGTAATTAATTTATATCTATAATATTTATGTATTTACGAAAAAAATATTTAAGTACTTCTTTCAGTTGTCTAATGCCCATAGTAGAAACTACTCATTTCAGCACTAGATCACGCTGTGTAATTTCTAATGGTATTTTTTTTATTTAAAAAGTACCTACTCATATAGATTCATACTGTAACAATATGAAAATATCAATCATGATATGTTTCTTGCATGGTAGACAGAAAGAACTAAATTGTAAACGAATCTGTCTTTATATGCTTCTGTTGATTTATCACTTTATAAATGATTTATAAATTCTGGAGACTGGACATTTATTTAAAAACTAATTTAACATAGACAAATTGGTGAAGCAGAAACTTTAATCGTGACAAAAATAGTATGAGGCCTATGGTTTCATCGTCACGGTAAATTCTATCAATTGCAAAAAGTATTAACAATATAAACAAAAAATAACTATTGAACTGAAGAACTTTCTTGGCTCTTTAGAAATCGTTTAAATTTGCCATGGTGGCCATAAAGATCATAATACTCACTATCAGTATCTCTTTTTTTTTTTTGTTGTCTGTTGACAGCTCCCTTTATAGATAAACCGTATTATTCAAAAAAATCGTATTATAGGTTTAAACTGTTTAGATAAAATTTCCAGTAACACTATTAAACGTTATTCATAAATGCTCAATAAATAAAATAGGTTTATTGAAAGATTTATGTTTTTATGTTGTAAACTTGTTGAGTTCTACATACCATAGTCACTATCAAAAATTATATGTGATTTTAATAAAAATCTATTATATTTTTGTAATATGTAATAATAAAATAAATATAATAATTGCTATATATATATATTACAGAATTTACAAGGTACGGAGGAATAACACCTGAGTCCCCAGGAATGGCAACGCATGGGGGTATCATGGACGAAACAGTTTACTCTGTTATGCCCATGTTTATAGGTGATGGTTACCACTTTACATCAGGTGGGCCGTCAACTTGTTTGCCATTCTAAGTTGAATAAAAATATTAATAAAAAAACATCAAAATATTAACGGACATGAGCCAAATTAAGCAAATAGAATGTTGATTGAACACGTCTTTAGGATAGGGTTAAAATTCAGCGACTGAGAGGGCCAACTTAGAAGCTCTATACTATTTTTCTCAAACCAACTCATACTGGTTCTAGGCTCACGGCACAGGGCATTGTCCTGTTGGAAACAGACGTCATCTAGGTTCATATCACCGAATATCATATCCAATGAGTGTTTCAGCGCATCGATATATTTTTTGAGTCCATTCGGTTTGAGGCAGACATGCAGTCCCAGACCATAACACTGCTTCCGCCGTGTTTTACAGTCACTATCACATATTCCGGTATGAATTCTTCGCCAAATCAGCGTCTCTCGTAGGTGGTACCTGCAGTACCAAATACCTGTAATTTAATAAAACAATAAGATTTTTGAAAATATGACTGTTATTGAACCATTAACTTCAATATATCTTGAACGTTAATTAATATTTAATCGTTTAAATGACATACCTCAAAATTCGATTCATCCAACTCCTTCTAGCAGAAATCTTTTTTTCCAGCGTTTCGCTTAATTCAGCAGCCAATTCAGAAGATGTTTTCTTACAATTTTTCAAGGAAGTTCGCATTAACTGTCTGTTTTCACTTTCAGATGTAATTCTTTTCCTTCTACTTGGTTTTAAGTTTTCGTGTCTTGTGGTCATCTTGTACCGATTTAAGGTATACCTTACGGTACTACAAGGACATTTCATAATCTTAGCAATTTCACTTTAATTTTATCTTTTTCAAACAATAACTTGATTTTTAATTGTTCCTGGTTACTTAATTTACGGCGCTTAGGCATTTTTCTAGTTATTTATAAACTGCTATACGTAAAACAACAAACAATTTACAATAATTTGTCGAGAGTTCTTTATACTATAATGAAGAACTCTCGACAAATAAACTAAAAATTTTCCTGAAATTCGACTTACCTGGAAATTGGTCACCTCTATTGTGTTTATAATTTTATGACATGGTGCGTTGTTTTGATTGGCTCATTTTAAGCTTTCTATGTGACAACAGACCCAGTACAGATCAATAGATAAGAAATTTCTAAGGATTTTTACTTTTGGCCAAGGCTGTATGTATAACAATGAGTAGGGGTATATATTTATATTGCATCGATAACATCTCTATATGCATTTAAAAATGACACAATTTTCATTATGCCTTCGATCAAACAGTTTATACTACTTCTCTCCATCCAAAGGTTGCCTGGAAGAGATTGCTTTTAGCGATAAGGTTGTCCATCATTTTCTCATGGCGATAATTTCTTGTAATTGTTTGTATCTATAATAAGTTTAATATTGTAATCTTTTAGAGGAAACAACAAAGAGTATCTATCTATCTATCTATATCTATCTTTTTTGTATTACAGTTTTACGATCGATTTATAGATCATCTATATCTGACGTCGCTATTGAATAGTTATTGCAGAGTTACAGTGCATTTATGAATAAATAAATTTTATAATAACCTTATTTCCTAGTTGTAAAGGCCTTATGAAGGAAGTGATAATTTTTATAAATAAAACGGAAAGACTTCTACTGAATTGAAAAATAATAGTTTTTTTTTTTTTTAATTAGAGGCCTTTTTGAAGTATCAGTTGCTTACATATATATCTGTCACACCTGTCTCCTATTAGAGTAGGCGTACTCGGTACTCATATCGGTTACAAAAAGAGTTGAATAAAATTTGTTCAGAAATGGCAAATATATCTCGTAATAATATACACAAAAAAAAAATATTAGAGCCTTTTGATATCGCTTTAGAATTGCTAAAGAGGCCAAAAAGGGTTTATGCTATTATAAGTAAGTTTTTTTTTTTTAATTATCTGTTAATAGCTTCATTTGTAGCTAATGATTCTCACATATTCCTTCTTTTCAGCTCTATTTTGTTATATATCGTTTCGTTTGATTGTTTTCCACATACTTATAAAAATATAAAATTTCCATCATAGCTCAGTCAATTTGATGCTGTACTGTTTTTTTTATTTAATATTCATATAATATTGCATAATACTTTGCCATTTTTCTTATGTGGACTTGACCTGCAAGTCTGACTTGTTACGGAACTTGTTCTTTCATTTAATTAAAAAAATAAAATATGTTCATGTTAGCATAGCATAATACGTTTTTATAATCAACTTTACAAATATCATCTTCATTTAATTAAAGTACATAATAAAACATATGTATATATGTATTTAGATAGTTGTAAATATCATTTTTGTCTGTAAAAAACATTTTGACAATTTTAGCCATTTTCAAAACAGGAGTTTTCAGTTTGTTTGTATTTTTAGTGTTAATCAGTATCTCAAATCTAAAATCTAAATCTCAAAGCAGAATTAGCTAATTCTTTAATTATATAAAATTATAGGTTGTAATCTAATTTATAGGTTGAATAAGGTTGTTGTTAGTAATATTTTTAAATGTTGAAATTAATAAATACACCTTAAAAATCATAAAGAAAGTCTTTAAAAAACAATCAATTTTCGTTAAGGTGATTTTTTATATTGCATATTCAAATTAATTTTTGTGACATATAAAATATGATACTTTTAATCAGATCCCATAGTCCGTATAACGTCATTCTATTATATAATGAAAATACATCGTAGTCACTACATAAAATTGTCTACAGTGAACAAAGTGAGCGCACATTACATCTCGTATCCTTACTTCGTGACAAGTTTCTCTCGGGCTCGTATGACATAGTTGCCTTATATGTCCTCACTGTCCATATTTTATTTCTTATCAACGATTCAATATACCTACTACTGTATGACTTGTCTTTATAAGACTTGAATATTTGTTAATTAGGTATAATCGTAACAGTGAGTACTTTACGGTCGAGAGATGGGCATCAGTATCCTTTTTAACATATCATCAAAAGCCAAACTACGGTTGCCAACTCGCCTGCCAAGCATGGTAACTGCTGGCATAATCCCCCCGATGGTAAACTGTAAAGGAACAGGACCATTCCTTATGACAGTCTATGGGGGAAGCCTATGTTCAGCGGTGAATAAAGGCCTCTAAATATGATGATGATGTACCAATGAGTTGCTGGTAAACGTACCACGTTAGAATTATATGTGCTGAGTGAAATGTAGCCATGCCATGATTGTTACGTTCACTACGATGGTAATAGTCGACAGATTCCTTCATAGATGATTACTGCATCAGGGATTACAAATTACAGTCTTGGGCATGTTTATTTTCTTATATATGTACTTTTTTGAAAGTGCGTAATACCAAAATACATATTTAAATGTGATACGATCCTTGAAAATTTTATATTCTGTAATCTCTCAATATAAAGTGGGGTAAGAATAAACATCTTTATAAGGTTTTCAATATCTATTCCCAAACTTGAACCCTTCTATATGACGAGCTCTGTTAACTTGCTCACTCCAAGATTATAATACTCTAAAGTTAGCGTTATATTTATTGTAAGCTGCAGGTTTCTTCTCAAATAAAAAATCTCTGAACTTTGTTAAAGGAATATAGCTATTATCTAAGTTACCATATTGTTTGAATTGTTATGTTTATGTAGTGACTATAGTTTATATTTGTAGTTTACTAGTTAGTGTACCGTCGCGTTGTAAACACATAGTAAAATAATGTAGGACTTAAAAACAACCTGCGTTATTTTATTAATGATAGATATTTGTTGATAATTAGAGATTCAGATATATTGTGTATTTTGGGATTAATAATGGACACCACTTGTGTTACTCAAAGCCACGTTCTTATACTATACGAGTTCTTTATTTAGGATCTCCGAACTTGCTACTTTTAAAAAATAATGATAAAAAACTATAAGATTTTTCTCATAAAAGTACTCATTTTGTTTTCAGTGGCGTGGCACACTACGTCGCGCGGGTGGTTCAGGAAGCAGCTTCAACTCAGGCACACTCACAAATGGCACCACAAACTCTAGTACCGCTGTCCAGTCTTATAATCTACTATGTAGCATGCGAGATTTTGGACACACCGCGGGTGGAGATGAAGCCGAGCTACTTCTATGGCTGCATGACGCTAGAAAAGCCCAGCCTTTATCTGAAAGGTTTCGAATCAGGATAGCAAGAGATGGCTTCTCAAATTACGTGGACAGACTTCACGCCAATAGTACCTTATTTGCAGTAAGTATAACCTATATAGTTTTTAATCTATTTAAGGTAAGTTCCCGTGTTTGTATGTCTAAAAACTCTTTCCAAAGAATCTTCGTGGCACATAAGTAACTTCTGACGGTCCATCTGGTGGAAAGTGGTAACAATTGCCTATGGACTTGTACAACACCGTGGACATGACAAAACGCACTGTTCCACTCGTAGTACCCTTTGTGGTTTGCCATTCCTTAGGACTAAAAAGTTACATCCAGCTACATGCCATATTGAGATATGACAGTGTAGTTAGGTATAATATTTTCTCTTTTAATCGAAATGGCCATACATAAACAGCTTCTTGGCGGCAAAAGCACTATTAGGATACGGATTTAAAGGCACAAACGACTTTTGGTTCAAATGATAGAGAACACAGCCTAAATTGGTGGGTTTGAAAACCAGATACTGTTCACAAGAATGTAATTCTAGTAGGTAGAGAGAACCGAGTACCAAGCCTATCATACCTCTGTCCCTTCATCCACTTTCATAACTTGTCTCATGCGTACAGGCCGGTTTGAATGACTATATATGGATATTATTAAGTAAACATTCAAAGTGGTAATTATTTAATGACTTGACGCATTATAACTAAATTAACATAGTTAGAAATTTAGACGAAAGAGTAAAGCAACAGCAGGTAGTTGGCTAAAACATCTTTTGTGTGTTGTAATATTATATTAAGTAAATATGTTTTGATATTTATATTATTTTAATAGCATATATACAGTATGATATATGCTATTAAATTGTTTTTAAAGAATGGTGGGGAATGGGTATTCATTTCAACGTAATAATCACTTTGATTTTTTGATTGTGTAGATGTTATGTGATATTTTTATATATATCATGTAACTAGTAGAGTTTAATATGTGAATTAGAGGACCGGCCTTTATATATTTCCTTTTAGAATTATCATCACCCAATATTTTCACATTTAAATGTCAAGTAACGGATACCTTTGCTGTTTTTAGGACCTCTCAACTACAGATCTCTCTCGCGAGCTCTGGTTGGTAGCGTGGGTGATACGTGTGGGCCGGTGGTCCGGCGCTGGCAGCATCAGCGGTGGCACGGGCGAGAGGAGGGGGCCCATAGCCAGAAGGCCCCTGGGTGCTGGTGTATTACCCTTATCAGAATTTCTAAGGCAACCTGGACAGCAACCTACTGAAAAAGAATATACATTTAAGGTAATTGACGTAATGATAGATAATTTTACTAATCGACATTGATTCTTCTATTCCTTCTAATTTACATTTATAAAATAATTATAGTAATTTTGCGTAATATACATAATATCTTCCTTTTCTGTTAAAGAAATAATTCTTACTTTTATACCTTAGATTATATTGATAGAACTTCGAGCCTCAAAAACGGCTCTTTTTTGTCTGCTAATTGTCAAATTAGCTGACTCTTTTTTTTAAATGTTCTGTATACTTACGCATACAATGTATTGTACGTATTATTCAATAAATAAAATGAGTATTTACACATTAAAAAGATGCAGAAATTTTAAGACAAAGTAAATATAGAAGTTATTAAGGAAGCGCTTATAATGATTTATCACGCAAAATTGTATAAAAAAGTAGACCCGCTTTTTTAAAGCATTTTTATGGGGACACTGTATCTATATAATCTAAGTTCATTACATTGAGAATTTTAGTTAAAGTGAACCTACTTTAGTTTATGGTTTCATCGTACTTAGAATAAATTCAGAATTAGTATTTTTTTTTTAATATTGTCCATGTTAATTACGAGATATTGGCATCGTGGTCGTAAATGAAGTAGACATATTCAGAGAAGCTAAAGGTTACAGTCCTTCCATGTACATCACCATGTGCCAAATATAAATTTCTCAAGGTTTTTATCTAACCAGTATGTCTAGTCGGGTGGCAAATGACTGAATTTATAAATAGGGTAAATGACCTTATCTCATGCATAACTAGGAACAGGACGGCACGACCGAATATTTTTTTAGCGTGTATTATTAGCCTACATGTAGTGAGAAACTTAGAAATCATTTCTTATTTTTTAAATTACTAGTCGTTATCCGCTACTTCACCTGGGGGTATTTAAATTATCCTATATTAAGTTAGGACATATTCCATCTGTGTAATTTACATTGAAATTTGTTTAGCCGTTTAGACGTTAATGAGTAATAAACATACAACATCCATATTTATAGTATTAATAGGGTTTAAAGAGTATTTGGAGAGTTCTGAGAGTATCAAAGAAGACGCAGGTGGCTCAGGACCGTTCCTTATGACAGTCTATAGGGGAGGCCTATGTTTAGCAGTGGACGGATAATGGCTGAGATGATGATGATGATGATGATGATGAAAGAGTATTTTTAGAAAATTTTGCTTGATAATATTTCTGAAACGTAGATGTTACTTGATATTATTTGAATTGTTATTATAGGCTAATTCATTTTATAATTTTCAGGTATACCAGTCTGAAGAGAAGGATTTTCATCAGTTACATGATATGTTAATACGAAAACAAACGAACAAATGCAATATACTTCCTGGACAACCAAATTATGGTAATACATTTATATAGTCGAAAATTTGATGTAATGGTTAATAAAAGTTTAACTGTATCCCATGACTTTGCCTGCCTGAATCAATATATAAGCTTTGGACTGTTCTACGTTAAGTTATAACGTAAACATGTACCAAATAATTAATTTTTTGCATGAAAATATATCTATTCTTACAAACTGTTGCATTTGTAATAGGGGTAGGACTAGCTGTATCCCGCGGCTTTGCGTGCGTGAGTCATTTTATAAAGTATCCTATGTTCTAAGTTAGGATTTATAACCTATCCGTTTACCAAACATTCAAATGAGCTCAGTAATTTTTGTGAGTAATAATCGAGCAACAAACATCTATTCATACACATATCCACATAAACACTCGCATTTAATGGTAGTAGGATAAACCATAGTGCGTACAGAAATAGTTACCACAAGTAGATCGTATGCACGATATAACGAAACAAGGAAATTTTGTTCCACATAAATACACCGATTTCAATCGTGTCACGGTCAATTATTTTGATTAAAAAACTGAACTTTTGATATAATTTTAACAAAATTTCCGAGAAACCAAACTGAAAGAATATTCTTTTAGATAAAAAAAGAATTTTGCAAATCGGTTAACAAATGACGGAGTTCTAAGTTCTTTTGTTTTTAAATTCAAATATAAAATACAGTATTCATGCGCTTCTGGGCGGAGCTAGGTTGGCTGTACTAGCCACGACTCATACGCACAACGGCCCAAATGAGAGGCTTAGCGCGGAAAATAGAGTCCTATTCACATTTCACATTTACAGTATTCATGAAACTAAACAACTTTCTTCAAGGAACAATAGTCGTTTCAATTACAAAATGTAATTAATATTAGATCACAATTTAAAACAAAAAGGTAATTACATTTCACATAATTACATTGTAAGTTGTAGATAAATGCATAATAATTCATTCGAGTGATTCAATAATTCTTTTCACATTATTCATAATTGTGACTATGAAAATCTGTAAACGGACAATTATGTTACTAATACTGTAACCAAGTAATTACACATAAGGAAAATCTCAGATTGGTGCAAGTGATGACATGAATTAATTAATGTTTGTTTTAAACACACATGATTAATTAAGAATAAATGTTTTTAAATCTCAGTCTGCGTATTTACCTATTCTATTTTATGCGCTTTTTTAGGCTTCCGCACAAAAGATACAAAGGAACCCTAATAGTGTAACTTTGTCCGTTCGTCTGTCCATCTTTCACAGTGCTATATCTCAACAACTAATGCTATTGATTCGAAATTCGTATTAGTTTTACATATTGTTGGCCCCGCACATATTGAAATGAAAATAATTGAAAAAAAAATCTTTGCTAGGGGAAGGGGTATTCAAAATTTTAAAATTGACCTACTAATCCAAATGGGGTATTTGTTTTCATGCTGCGTAATTTTTTACTTATTATTGAAAATATGAGATAGAAAATATTTCCCCTCCCCTCGTCTCTAAAGGTTATGAAATGAAAAATCTGAAATGATTACAGTTTTTATGTGCATATTACAGGAAAAATAAAACAAAGATTCTAACTAGCACCGTTTTTGAGAAATTACAAACTTAGTTATACGGTCCAATTTATAATAGGTTTAAAACAATAAATTCCGAATAATAATAATAACTATTAGGTGTCTATTACGTATGTGAAATGCAATAGATGTCATTTTATCTCATAAATATATTTAATGCACCAATGAGGGATGATATTTGTATATTTATGTACAGGAGTTTTTGCGTAATCGAGTTTGATTTTAGTTAAAATTTCTTGAGGTATTTGAAGAAAAAAGAAGAAGAGTGATAACACATCGTATTTTCTCCATCTCCACTCGGATACTTACATCGCTTACACCTTTTATTATTAGTATGAAAACTTTTATTTCAGGTATAGTGGTAGCTCTTAGACTTTTGACCCACTCGGGGAACATAAATGAAGCGGTAACCTCTGGGGCCACAGTAACCGCCAAGCGCGGTTTTCCTGACGTCATCATGCCCGGCGATGTGCGGAATGACTTATATCTGACATTAGAAAAGGCAGAGTTCGAACGCGGGGGCAAAAGTACAGCAAAGAATGTTCTAGCAACAGTCAGCGTTCATGACAATACGGGACAAGTTATAAATGTGAGTAACAAGTAAAATATTTTTGTTAATTTTTTTTATACAACTTAGAATGGCAAACCTGCTGACGACCCTCCTTATGGAAAGTGGTAACCGTCGCCTATAGACATGAGCAGTACCATGGACATAACAGAATATACTGTTTCGCCCATGATACCCCCCATGTGTTGCCATTCCTGAGGACTCAGGAATTATTCCTCCGTACCCAGTAAATTCACGTCATATCCCACCCTTCAAACCGAAACACAGCCATACAAACACAACTGCTTTACTATTGAAATACGAATGGGACAGAGGTACCCAAGCAATCGACTTTTGTACAAAGTCTCCCTCTCCTTACTTATAAAATTGAACATTTTAATTTTATTGTAATAAATCGGCCATCCCTTCCTTTACCGTGGATGTCGGAACAGGTGACTAAAGGACCTCAAAAATCGAAGGATGAGAAGCAGCATCCTTCTTATAACATCACCAAAATACAACATTGGTTGCCAACCCGCCAGCAAAGCGTGGCTACTATTGGCAACTAACTTATAATGTTCAGCTACAGCTACTATCGCAGACTCGCCATACGACAATTAGAAGACACGGATTCCGCATGTTAGCATTCTAATTATATATCATGTTTTGAAAATAATTACTAAATAAAAATAAATGTATCGTAATAAATATATGTGACAATTTTTGTCGAGATCGCTTAGATTATTAAAACTTTGCTGACCAGGAAATCCGTCATGGTTGAAATCTTCGAAATTAAATTAAAATTGTGATAAAAACCTAAATACAAATAGTAGAACTCTTTGTAATTCAAACGGTGTTGCCCGTCGTGGTAGGAGGACGTATGTACACGCTAGTGCAATGACGAGTTTACTCATCACCGGTTAGCAAAGTGTTAATATAATTTGTATTTCTGAAAGTTTCAACAATAAAATGTATGTAATGGTCAGGAGTGCGTGTACGGTGCAAGCGGCGCGGCGGCCAGCTCGTACGAGTCGCTGGTACTGTACCACAACAACAGCCCCGCGTGGGGCGAGCACCTGCGGCTGGGCGTGCCGCTAGACACGTTTACGCACGCGCACGTGCGCATCGAGTTCCGACACTGCTCTAGTTAGTATACACCTTACACGAATCACAACACGATTTGTTTTGTATAATCCATTGTGGGATGTGAAATATTTTTAAATGAATAATCGTCGTACGAGCTCGTTAAATATTTATATCAAGTGTAATAATTTTAGTTACATACATACATATCTGTGACGTCTGTTTTCCATTAGGGTAGGCTGAGACCAGGGAATGTTAATTATTACACCTAATGTAAATAATTAAGGAGTATTGAGAACGTGGACGGTATTTGTAGAGTTAAAACACAGATTATACAAAATTGGTATATTTGCACATATCTCTTAGCCAACAATTATGAACACAGAGCGACTGGCCAGTTTAGTGTACGGACACCGTCTCAATGACAGTTCTATAATATGACACCAGGTGGCACTACTAGTTGTAAATAAATATATTTGTAAAATTACATTTTGTTGCTAGCAACAAGTGACTCTTACCACAGCTAACAGTTAACTTGATAATAAACGGTGTCCATCTCTTATAATATGAACTAACGAAATATAATATGATATCTGTTAATTCATATTCGCGTTCCTTTTACACTTGAAGACTAAAGTATCCTTGTGTCATAGACTTTTGTACATACTTTTATACTTGCAATTTAACCTTTTTTTTTTTTTAATTCAAAATATGATATTTTATGTGATATTATCTTTTCAGCTCGAGATAAAAATGAAAGGAAACTGTTTGGGTTCGCATTCGCCCGCCTAATGGAACCCAGCGGCGCCACGCTTGGGGACGGCGCGCATGACTTATATGTTTACAAATGCGACGATCCATCCAAGTAACTAATTTTTATTAAATATTTAAACTTTGTTCGAAAAGTGATTCTAATTGTTAATAACAAGATTCCATTTTCTTTAGTATTTATTTTTCGTGATTAAATTTGAAGTGAAGCAATCGTTATATATCTTGTAAATAATGTAAAGTCTACACTGTCTAATGTATTAAAAAGCTGTCATATTTTATCAAAATTGATTAATTTGAAATTGAAATAAAAATTCATTAAAAAGAGAATCAAGTCTTCAGCTTCGTTATCATCATCATCACTCTTGTCCCAATTATTATTTGAGGTCGGTGTAATATGGTTTTATACATATTACTAAAGGAATTGGCTTATAGTTTTACGACCGGCTGCCTGGCTGACGTCAATTCTTCAGCTTCGTTATCATATGCATAATATTTGATTTAATAAATAGATCTTAAAGTATACAAATTAATGTCATATATGATACGAGTGTAAACTATAATTCTATGAAGTAAGTGAGTAATTAATTTCTTTAGACTCACTACAGCCAGCTACCTGTCCCTCCCGTCATGTGCGACGGACTCGGGTAGGGCGACCGCTAACGGTGTTGTAGCAACTTTCCAGAGGAGTGCCAAAGAGAGCTGCACAATCAGCACTCTGTTGTGTTCTACTAAGTTGACACAAAATGGTAATATTTTGTTTTTATTACAATTGTACTAAAAATTAACAAATTGTTGGTTCATGTCAAGTATGAATATGGTATAATCGAAATGGATATCATAGCATATTTTACGATAATGATAACATCCCTAATGCGTAATTTTGAAGTTTTAATTCCTTAGACCTAAATTCTAGACATATTTAGCGCGTATAGCACTTCCAATCTCCATACAAGTATTTATAGGATTACATTAATAATTGTATATATTAAACACTTACACTATTACTGTTGTTGTCACCTTCCTAATCTATAATCACCTCAGAGGCAGATTGTTGAGTTCAAAGAGTTCCAGTAGTGTAAGAATTGGGACTGCGACTGGGAGATTATATCTTCTTTTTTCGCTCATTTAACAGCACGCAATCTAAATGCAAATACGTATTATTTGTGGTCAATTTGATTGACTAGTATTCGTTTTCGGTAAATCTGATGACAGCAGGAATTGTAAACCGGCAAATATATATAATACAGTGGTGCCTGCCCTGACGATTAACAAAAACCTTAACCACCAATAAATATAAAGTTCAATTTAGCATGTTTGTGTTGCAGAGGACCTCTTGGCGTTGCTACAATGGCGCGCGCACCCAGAAAAGGTCCAGGAGACATTGCTACGTGTTCTGCGGCTCGGTGACGGACTCAGCTGCGAGGAACTCATCAAGTTCCTTCGTGACGTGCTCGATGCACTCTTCGCTCTCTTTTCCACTGAGGATGGAAACAGGTCAGTCTCGCTAGATGGCGTTACGTGTACCATCCAAATGTTTACTACTACTAACTTCTTCCTTTTTGTTTACATCAATAAGTGTCACTTTTATTATATACATCTTTTAATTAAGAACTCGAATTTGATTCTCGTATGGGTCCAATTAAGAAACGAGCTTTGCTAAATGGACTTTTTTTTAATGGCTGATAATAAAATGGCAACCCTGGCCGCGCTAATGGCATATGCTTACCAGCTTCGGCTAACGGTATACGCTGGCGGGGCATCAGTGAGGGATGACAGGTGAGAATGAAAAGCCAGTTTGGTTAGCTCATCGTAATAAATACATCTGGACTTGATGGTCCAGGTCCAATTTAGCAGAGAGGGTGAAGAGATTGTTAGTGATCTAACAGTCCCTTCCCTCCCTGCTAAAATGGCTGCTAAAATAAACACCCAGGAGCACCATGCAGAATACCCAGACCTGGGTATTCTGCATGGTGCTCCTGGGTGTTTATTTGATGGCTTCTCATAACATAGTATGTTCTAGTTTCAGCACTGAGTTATTAGTGTGGTACCTTTTTTTATTTATATAATCTGGACCATATTATAATTTACATATTATGAGATTCTTTCTTCATCATCAAATCATGCTGCAAAGCCACGAGGTACAACTAATATTTATAATTTCGTATACAATATAATGTTTTATTCCATTTTTCAGTACCCCACACTCTGGTACCGTTTTCTTGGTATTAGTATCAATATGCAGTTTATTGGACGAGAGTCGTTTCCAACATTTCCGACCGGTGCTTGATGTGTACATCGAGGAACACTTCTCAGCCGCTCTTGTATACAAGTAAGTAATGTAGAATAATTTTAATTTCATTAAAATAAAAACCATTTAAGTGAAGGTGACAAAGTATAATGAAAATATATATTGATAATCTTTTTTCTTAAAAATGTAAAAAACGATCACGTGAAGACATTAAACAAAGAAATAATTTAATGAGTACATATTGTTTTTAAAAAAATTTAATCATGAACACCCATGCATGTAAAACATATATATATATAGACATGCACACATGTACGTCGATAATTGTTATATCACATATAAACACAAAAAAGCGCAATTGATTGCTTGCAGGGGAATGTTTTTTAATGTATGAAAATTGAATTTTGATCCCGTATGCGTTATTATTAGTTTACGCGCGCGGGATACAAGTGATGGATAATAATAATAATGATAAAAATGAAATCAGGTTAGTTAGTTTATTGTGACGATTTTACCATGGATTAGCAACTGTGGCTTCCAGAAAGATTGCATGGAGGTTTACTGCTTTTTTGATAATGTAATTGTAACTCCGCCTGCGCTAACGGCATACGCTGGCGGGGCACCAGTGAGGGATGATAGGTGTAAATGAAAAAGCAGGTCAGTTAGTTCATCGTGATTAATACACCTAGAATTCAACACGATGGTTTCAACTTGCACGTAGTCGACGTGTAAGTTTAGTGACGATCCCCCCCCCCCCCCCGCAGGGGCCTGCTGTCGTCGGTGCAGCACTGCGCGGAGTGGGCGGCGGGCGCGGAGGGCCAGGAGCCGATCCGCAAGTGCCTGCGGTCGCTGGGCGCCGTGTTCCGGCTGGCGGTGCGCTCGCGGCGGCTGTTCGCGCGCGCCACGGGCGGCCAGTACGAGGACAGCTTCCGCCGCGACGTGCGCGCCGCGCTGCACGCGCTGCGCCAGCTCGCGCACCACCCGCACCGCGACCACCTCGCGCCCGCGCAGGTACTCCCGCCACGCTCGCGCACCACCCGCACCACCCGCACCGCGACCACCTCGCGCCCGCGCAGGTACGCCCGCCACGCTCGCGCACCACCCGCACCGCGACCACCTCGCGCCCGCGCAGGTACTCCCGCCACGCTCGCGCACCACCCGCACCACCCGCACCGCGACCACCTCGCGCCCGCGCAGGTACGCCCGCCACGCTCGCGCACCACCCGCACCGCGACCACCTCGCGCCCGCGCAGGTACGCCCGCCACGCTCGCGCACCACCCGCACCACCCGCACCGCGACCACCTCGCGCCCGCGCAGGTACGCCCGCCACGCTCGCGCACCACCCGCACCGCGACCACCTCGCGCCCGCGCAGGTACTCCCGCCACGCTCGCGCACCACCCGCACCACCCGCACCGCGACCACCTCGCGCCCGCGCAGGTACGCCCGCCACGCTCGCGCACCACCCGCACCACCCGCACCGCGACCACCTCGCGCCCGCGCAGGTACGCCCGCCACGCTCGCACACCACCCGCACCACCCGCACCGCGACCACCTCGCGCCCGCGCAGGTACGCCCGCCACGCTCGCGCACCACCCGCACCACCCGCACCGCGACCACCTCGCGCCCGCGCAGGTACGCCCGCCACGCTCGCGCACCACCCGCACCGCGACCACCTCGCGCCCGCGCAGGTACTCCCGCCACGCTCGCGCACCACCCGCACCACCCGCACCGCGACCACCTCGCGCCCGCGCAGGTACGCCCGCCACGCTCGCGCACCACCCGCACCACCCGCACCGCGACCACCTCGCGCCCGCGCAGGTACGCCCGCCACGCTCGCACACCACCCGCACCACCCGCACCGCGACCACCTCGCGCCCGCGCAGGTACGCCCGCCACGCTCGCGCACCACCCGCACCACCCGCACCGCGACCACCTCGCGCCCGCGCAGGTACGCCCGCCACGCTCGCACACCACCCGCACCACCCGCACCGCGACCACCTCGCGCCCGCGCAGGTACGCCCGCCACGCTCGCGCACCACCCGCACCACCCGCACCGCGACCACCTCGCGCCCGCGCAGGTACTCCCGCCACGCTCGCGCACCACCCGCACCACCCGCACCGCGACCACCTCGCGCCCGCGCAGGTACGCCCGCCACGCTCGCGCACCACCCGCACCACCCGCACCGCGACCACCTCGCGCCCGCGCAGGTACGCCCGCCACGCTCGCGCACCACCCGCACCACCCGCACCGCGACCACCTCGCGCCCGCGCAGGTACGCCCGCCACGCTCGCGCACCACCCGCACCACCCGCACCGCGACCACCTCGCGCCCGCGCAGGTACGCCCGCCACGCTCGCGCACCACCCGCACCGCGACCACCTCGCGCCCGCGCAGGTACTCCCGCCACGCTCGCGCACCACCCGCACCACCCGCACCGCGACCACCTCGCGCCCGCGCAGGTACTCCCGCCACGCTCGCGCACCACCCACACCACGATTACCTCGCGCCCGCGCAGTTCCGCCGCCACGCACGCACGCACGCGCACATACACTCACACTTTGACTAATAGGTATCTTATTTAGTTATTTATTTCCGTGGTACATTAACAGATTGCAAACAAAACTTTTACCAATAGAATACAGCATTCAAAAATACAATTTTACTTTTTAAGTTAATTGACGAATAACGAATAATAATAATTTTCCACGCGCCATAATGTTCCTTTGTTTGTTTTCAATAAACAGCTTTCTATTTGCAAGCCGGTTCGAAATTTAAATAAAATCTTGTATTAGTTACCTCCTTGGTAACCATGTTTCGAAGTAAAAGGTCATGCCATTTTTAAATTACAGGACAAATATAAGTTTACATAGTAATTTATCTGGCCGCAAAACACGACAGATATGGATTTTTATACAACTTTTGCCGGCCGCTGTCCGCATGTATCTGACCAGTACGGCAATTTTGATTTATCTCGAAGAAGATTGTCAAAATAATGCTCACATTTCCAAGCATGTTTGAGAAATGGTTATATTCAATATTTACAGAAATGAAACAGCATACATATATTTTTAATATCTTATATATATACGTCTTTATCTCGAATTTCACAAGCACATTAAATTAAGTTTTTGTAACTCCTTGGAGGTTACAAAAACTTAATTTTGCATTTATAATATTAGTATGGATTATGTTACAGACTTACGTAAGTAAAATTTACAGATGTAAGAGCGAACTGACTAAGCAGCATAATATCAATGCAGGTGGCGCTAATGACATCATGGGCCAGCGTCGCCAAGGAAGTAGCATCAGCTCTAGGACCGGTGGAGGCGGCGCGCATAACGGCCTCTATGTTAGACGCACCTGCTGCTAATGCACCGGCAGCACTAGCCAAGGCTCGCCTCGCAGCGGCACAGGAGATACTGAAGGGGCCTTTAGGACAAGATCCTGGTTAATAAAAATATTATTTTTGCTATTGTACCATCAGAAATCCATGCTTTTTCCCCCCTTGAAATCTACAAAAACCACAGAACATCATTACCGTTCTTTCTCATTAACTACAAGCCCATATTAACGGCCATAATAAATAAAACAATTAAAATTATAATTGTACCTATTTATAGATAGTATAGTTTATAGACAAATTTGTTCAAGTCAGGTAGTTCAACATAGTCAGGCTGTTACTCATTCAAAGTCATAAGTTAGTCTACTACGGTACGCAGACGTCCTACTGATCAAAATTTAACCAACTCCTGTAATATAGTTCGCGACAATTTTTATAAAATCCTGCATATTTAAAATACATGAATTCTACGTAATAGATGCTTTTTAATTGTAAAATTATTACAGCGAAGATAAGGAGTTATTCTATGTCTAATTTAACCTGCTGTTCACACAACTTTAATCTGTGGAATAGTATGTCATTGTAACTCCTTTTCATCATTTTGGAAGATACTCAGAATATCGCAAGAGTAGATTAGGACAATGTAGGTGAATATACCAGGAGGAATTTCAAAATTAGAACAAACACAAATTCTGTACAAAGTCGCCTTCTAAGTTTAGTAATAGTAGGGTATGTTCTCTTTATATATAATATTTAAGGGCAATAAGAAGGAAAGTTAAAGAACAATTTAAACAACTCTGCCCTACCAGACTCATGCATTTATTGTAGTTGTTCGGTATTTGTACATACTAAAGGTATCATAATGTTCTGATTATTTCTTACACTGTGGCGATTGGTCTAATGTAACGTTTGTATGGTCCAGAGGCACGCAACATAGTGCTGATGACAGCGTGCCAACATCTACGCGTGCAGCTTGCTCGGCGCGATGAGCTGCCGCAGTGCGCCGACATGCTCGCCGACCTCGTCACGCTACTGTGGAAACGATCGGACAACGACCGCGACCTACTCGACCACCATGACCACCTCGACCACCACGACCACGAGCACGATCATGACCACCTCGACCCCGATGTAGACGTCCTCTGCCTTAACACGCTCGATGTGCTCGTCGAAACTGTATTGCATCTTATTGGAGGGAACTCGCCTGTGTTGGTAAGTATTTGTCTTATCAACATAACATCACCTAAATAGACTAAGAGCAAATATATATCTATGTATTTGTATGTATCTATGTGTGTATGTTTTTATTTATTTATGTATTAGTGTTATATTATTATTCATGTACTTTTATTATTTACATATGTAGGTATATAGAGCTGTTTTTATTGTATTACATGTATATTCCATTTTTTACTGGGTATTATTTAGTTTATCTTTAATTGTACGGTTATTACCCTTGTACTCGTACATTCTACAGTTTTCTTTCAGCTTCTCAAAGGTTGACTGTAAGAGAGTTATGGGATAAGTCCGCCATTGTATATTAAATCATTTATCAGTGTTCAATATAAATTATGTACAATAAAAATTTTGCAATACAATACAAAAATGTTTTTGTAATATTTTATTTAAAAATGTTTTCAGATAGGATATTCTGGAAGCTACAATTTAGTCTGGCCTGCATGGACATTCAACTGAAATTAACAATTGTCAATATTTTCATTTCTTGGTGTAATAAAAACCATTAGGTTGTTTGTCATAAATCTTCGCAAACACATTTGAGTATTATTGTTTGAGAGTTTGGACTCGTTATCGCGTGTTTTTAGGAACTATAGTATGTTACGTTAAAAAATGTAACATAAGTTTACTTTATCGTCCCGGCATAGAATGGGTCATCCCTTCCTTTCCCTTGGGTGTCGTAAGAGGTAATTTAAAGAACTTAATGATTAAGGTACAGGCAGCAGCATTCCTCTAAAATCGACACCAAAAGCCAAACTGTGTTTGCCAATCCACTTGCCAAGCGTGATAACTATTGGTATAATCCCCCAAATGGTGAACTGCCATTAGGAATAGCAGTTTAACATTGGGTACCATAGGCGTTTCTTATGGCAGTCTACGGAGGTCTATGTTCAGCAGTGAACAGATAACAGTTCATATGATAATAATTTTACTGAATATCCCAACTTGAAGGCCGGTCAATGTCGTGATTGTGTAACTTGTTTATATTTTTTTTTTCTTTACAGGGATCAATGGTCGCCGGCTTGTTGGGTGCCATGGAACTACTCAGGCCCGCTCATTACCAAAGATTATGGAGTCACTTAGCACCACATCCGCACGATCGGAAACCCTTGAAAGACTTCTTGATGCGAGCCTTCCTCGTCTTCAGGCATCTTATCGAGCAAGATGTGAGTATATATGCATACCTATTATATAACTGTATGAATATAATTGCTATCTTATTATATGCTTAGTTATATTTCACTTCTTCGCTCTTCAAATCGCAATAGTCATGTTTTTTTTTATACAACTTAGAATGGCAAACAAGCTGACGGCCCACCTGATGGAAAGTGGTAACCGTCGCCTATAGACATAAGCAATACCATGGACATAACAGAGTATACTATTTCGCCTATAATACCCCCCATGCGTTGCCATAAGGACAGGCTACTTGAAATAAGAAAACCGGTATACATATGGATACTTGTACAGTTTCGATTAAATTTAATAGCGCCTGCTTGAATAAGATTAGCAAAAGTTACATACTTGTCATTAACAGTATAAGTAACGTGCATTATGTGAAATTCTTTGCATAATTATTTGCAGGTCTTTCCATCAGACTGGATGGTACTTAGAGTGCAAAGCTGTAAAGTACTATTGTCCGCTCTACAAGACTTGGCGAAACCATTACTCGAGAGGTTTTTAGGAGATGAACCACCACAATTTGATACTCAGGTACAATATTTTTTATATAAATACGGTATATTCCTAATACAATATTTGATCATCAAATATATTAGTGATGTGATCCCAACGAGGGGTTTGTGGGGTGAGTAAAAACAATATGTCGACACTTATTTTTAAATCAGGAGGCCCTTAGTCGGCATTAATAACATTCTGGGATGAAAATGAGTGGCGATATATTGTATCTCTCTTAAATTTTTATACGGAACGCTTGGTTAACGTGATAAATTGCAAAGTAAAAGTAGTAATTCTCAAAATAGTCGTCTAAAATTTATCGATGGAATATTTAATTTAGCTGTTGTGTTCTGTCACCAATGTTCCATGATAGGTGAAAGGCAATTGAAGAACTAGTTACATAGTTTATTGTTGGACGGTATGATACTGTACGATTTTATCGTTATAATATCATAGGATAGCGAAATATGTACAATTGTATGAGAAGTTTTTAATTTTTTCGTTGTTATCGTGAAGTTGTATGATATCACGATGTTATGGTTTTATATGGAAATTTGGAAGCATTTCACATAATATGCGCGTTGTTATAATATACCGTAGTAACGATCTTATACTAGATTCATTAATACTACAGCTTAGATTATAGAGTGTCCTCATAATACCTTGAAAAAAAGTCATCTTTTTCATACAATTTTGCGTGTCACGCATTGCGTGATAAATAGTTATGAGTGGTTTCCTTTGTAATTTCTATTCTTATTTTGTCTTATAATTTCTGTATTTTTTAATGCGTAAATACTACGTCTGTTTAATGCGTAATTCATTTATTAAATAATATGTTAAGATACATTGTATGTGGAAGTATATGGAACACTGATAAAAAAACGAGTCAGCTAATTTAATAATTAGCTGATAAGAAGTTGACCCGTTTTTGAGGCTCAAGGCTATCTATATAATCTAAGTACTAGTAGTTGATACCTGTAAATAGTTGTGCGGATTCATTTACCAGTATGGTGAATATGTGGGCGGTGTGGAGTGTTAACTAACGTACTGATGACTCGGTCGGCGGCGGCAGCTGTGGTCGGGCTACCTGGAGCTGGGCGTGGCGCTGGTGACGGCGGGCGCGCTGCAGCCCGAGCGCTGGGCGGGCCGCGGGCCCGACCGGCCGCGCCTGCGGGCCCTCGCCGGACACCGCCTGCTCGCCGTCTGGAGCCGCCTCGGTGCGCACGCACGCACACGCGCACGTGCACGCACACATGCACACACACACGCACACGCACACACGCACACGTACACACGCACACACGCACACACACACACACACACACACATATACACATACACACGCATCTACTAATGTACACACTTACTCTACACTGACACTCGCTATTCCACTTACGCTTATTTCACGCTCATATTCCCTATTTCACCCATTCTCCTATTTACGTCCCTTTCAATAGAGGGCAAAAGGTAACTTATAATAAACATACTGGATCCCTATTGCTCATTATAATCTTGCAAAAAGTCTTGAAGTATATTATTTCTAAAAGGTTATCGCGTAGAATACTAAAATAAGTATTGACATGACTTGATATAGATTGCAGAGTGAACAAACAAACAAATAGCTTACAAAAACTTCTTTAAATATATATATATATATATATTGGTACATATTGCTAATCTTTGTAATCTGTATCATACTTTGAAGAGAACAAAAAAGGTTTCCTTAATTCGAAAAGATCTTGAGTAGTAACTTACTGATGTACTTACAAAATTTTGGATCAAAAGATAAATATGTATCATATATACAATTATGTGGAAGGAGCTTTTTGATAGTCTGTGTGGTAGTACATATACAACAACGTTTATAATCAACAGTGGATAATTTATGATTTAAATGTTAATGACATATCTTTCAATAAAAACATCAAAGTAATGAAGGCTGATTAGAGAAAAGAATCCCTTGAAAAAGTCTGCTTACCCTATACAAAACTTTTTTTTAAAGTATGTGTCTTATATAATTTAAGATTTTTGACCAATATATATTACTAACATCAATTGAGAAACTAATACGAGATTGGTATATACAGGTCCAGCACAACTACATTTGATAGGCGTAGGAGTAGGTGCGTTGCTAGAGGTGACCCTGATCGGTTCACTGCGGCGTCAGGCGCTAGGTGCACTAGTAGCGCTGATGGCGGCTGAACGTGCCTCCGCCGGGCATGCTCGCCGCACAGAAGCCGCGCTAGTTGACAAACTGGACTCACTGGTCGCCGACAACAAGGCCGACGACCACTATCGACGGCTTTTCGACACTGTGTGAGTACCTTAACAACTATTTCATATTTGCCATGGGTATCCCTATAAAATACAATATAACTTATTGTACATTTGTCAAACGACCTGTTATAGGATTGTATTCTGTGTATTTACTAGTGTAATTTGTTTTGTTTTCATAATATCGTAAAAGGGGACTTTATGAGTTTCCGGGGATAAGGAGTGGTAATACTTTTTATTCTTGCTCGGCCACCATAACATCGTAATTATCTTCCACTTTGTAAAAAGAAGTGTTCGTTTCTCAATGATTCTGATTGATTACTTAAAAAGGGCTCTGCCAGTGAACGAAAGTGTTAACCATGCAATAATATTCTTATTAAGTTAACACTTAAGAGTTTTACAATTACCGGGTAAATAATCATCGATTTTTTCAAACGATTTCCAAAACGAGAAGCCCGTTTCTCTTTGTGCATATTACGTGATATTTTCACCATTATGATTTATAAATAATTTTTACAATTAATTACATTTACGTTGGTCCCGTATTAATTTTATGATGATTGAAGCAGCTGTTTTTTTTTCTAGCCGCATTGGTATTTGAATAGCAATGATGTATTTGTAATGTATTTGTATATTAATAGAAAAAAAATAACCGTAATTTAATTGTACACGCTACATTACTTCAGGGAGCATTTAAGTTCAGTGTAAGTATTTAACAATATACATGTACATGTTTACAATTTTCAACATTATCAGTTCAAATGTTTTTAAAGCAATGATTGTTAAATAATTTACCAAATTATATATTATATTTAGAGAAAAGAACTATCCGAAATCTGTTATTGGCATTCGAACAGAATCAAAGTATTTTTAAAATTCTAATTTCGAATCCGGCTCGAAGGACCATGGAAAATCATATTGATTTTAATTTTAGTATAAGTTTATAGAAACGTTACATTGTTTTGTCTACAGGATAAACGATTTAACATTTTAAAAGTTCTGTGTAATGCTGTACTAGTAATATGGTACATACTATATTAGGAAAAGTTGTCTCAAATGCCTTACGTATTTGATAAGCTTGGAAATTCAATGCATTGCACTTTGGCCTGTTGTCATGTACACCAGAATTAAATGTTACCGTGATATAACTATGTATGGCAGACTGATGGAGCGCGTGTCGACGGAGGGGTGGCGCGAGGCGGGTGCCGCGTTCGTGGGCTGCGTGACGCGGCTGCTGGAGCGGCTGCTCGACTACCGCGCCGTCATGCAGGGCGCCGAGCACCGCGACAAGCGCATGGCAGCCACCGTCAACCTGCTTGTACGTATATCTGCCTGGTATACAGTGTAAAAGTGGAAACATACTATCGGATGCGTCCGTTAGTCACGGCTGATGTATGCTGCTTATTTCGAATCTGGACAGTACATGGAACTGGAGCTAAAATATCTCGTGTTACAGTGTTCGTTCACTAACGTAAATATATGAATATATATCTTTCTTCAGTCGTACTCTAGACAAAGTAGTCGTGGTTTTCACAATGACAGTAGATCGTCGATGAGGCTCTCTTTCGCGATTGAAGTCCTCGCAATATGTCTCCATCTACTTCTGAAAATGTGCAATCGATTTTAATGACATTTTGTATATGTGTATTGTTTCCTCCAACTGTATAGAGGATAGTTATTATATTTTTACACACTAAACGATTACTTGAATGACAAATGTGCATGGTGTTAATCGATCATGCACGAGCTTTTAACGACCATGTAATTTTAGACATATACCTATAGTACATTTAAATAAATACACATAATGTTAACAGAGATTTATAGAGTCGCTGTTGAGTTTTTTGCGACATCTTCTCAACAGATAACAACCTTCCGAAACCTGCAGTAGATTAAAACAATTAACGATTTTAAAGTGTTTGTAAACAAGTCTTTTTGAATAAAATAGAACTGAATTGATAAAAAATGGACCCTGTGGATGATCATATAAGTCAAAACAACACTGTTGGATTAGCTACTAAATATAAAAGAAAGTAGATAGTGAGTAGTGCGTTAGCGTAGCAAATCATTGAATATAGCATCAACGATCCTTTTGAATAAATCCTTCTTGTAATAATCTGTAAGAAATATTGCATTTATAATATTGGTAGAATTAAAACAATTTCATATAATACTATTATAATACCCTTCTTATATTTAAGTGAATACACATTAGAGTGAATATACAATATATCACTTTATAATTTTTTGCAGAATTTCTACAAAAACGAAATTGATCGTAAAGAGATGTATCTACGTTACGTATACAAACTACACGACTTACATATAGGATCTGAGAATTTCGTAGAAGCTGGCTGCACGCTTCTGGTAAGTACACCATGTAATATCCTATTATTTTTTTATTTATTTACTCATTGTTATATATTTCATATCTAAGTGAGTCTTCAATATTATAAAATAAATTATGAAAATGGATGAAGCATAAAATATGCATAAAGTATGATTCTATAACACTCAATTCGTATCCATAACAGGCAATTAAATTTAAAATTGTACTTTTTAACAGCTGTATGCAGAAACTTTAAGCTGGGATAGTGATCAAATCGGCGTAGATCACGAATATCCAGACACTCCAGAATGGAAAAGGAAAGAGGCTCTCTATAACCAAGTATTACAATACTTCGATCGTGGAAAGGTAAACAGTTTTCCATAATATTTATTTTGTTCATATTTAATTAACTGACAGGCAGTTACAGTGAAGCCCACTACTGGTCATGATCTGCTATTCCTGATGGCTATGATATAATTCTTCAGTACCCTGTAATTTTACCCTTTAAGCCGAAACACTTAACTGTATTAGTGACTTAGCAGTGTAGGTGCCAGCATATAATGACCATCCCTTCCTTTCCCGTGGATATCATAATAAGCAGGAGCTTATGGTGGAGGGATGGGTAGCAGTGTCCCTCTTAAAACATCACCAAAGGCCAAACTGCGGTTGTCAACCCGCCTGCCAAGCGTGGAAACTACTGGTAAAACCCCCCTTATAGGGGCGGCTAAGTTCAGCAGTGGACTGTTAACGGATGATAAAAGAAACAAACAGCCGTTTATGCAGAGTGACTTTATGGCTGAAATACGAGTGGGACAAAGGTGCCTTTTTGATGGATAGATATATAATATTAATTGTAAGGCTGGTTTCAAATGAAGGATGAAAAGATGAGGATGTAGTTGTCTCATCGTAGTTAATTAATTAAATATAAACCACCACGGTTTTTAGGGGGAAATTAGTGTAGTTCAAATTGACAGGTCATATTGTTAGAAATAGGGACTAACCCTTTCATTACCAGCAATTCCTCATTCACCTTCAGTCTTGTGATGGAGTATCTAAATTTTAAATTGAATAATGTGTAAATAAGAGCTCTGTTTATTGTGCAGTGCTGGGAGAAGGGCTTGCCGCTGCTGCGCGAGCTAGCGCGGCTGTACGAGACGCGGCTGTGCGAGTACACGCGCCTGGCGCACACGCTGCGCACGCACGCCGCCTTCCTGGACGCCGTGCTCGCAGACCTGCGACCCGAGCCCGAGTACTTCCGCGTCGGCTTCTACGGCAACGGCTGTCCGCTCTTCGTCAGGGTTAGTCGCTGTACGATCTAACCCGTGGAGTGATCGGCTCTAGGCTAGCTCGCTACACCCACTGCGTAACCGATTTTTGAAATTACCAAATTTCTATTAGAGGTTATGGATAAATGGGTTTATTACCTACATAAATTTATGACCTACATAAATTTAATGAAAACGTTGCTGCAAATTGGAGTTATGCAACAGACGCTGTTGTATTAGCGCGCGGTACCACTTTTTTGTTCGGTACAACGTATGATGCATAAGTGCTTGAGGGGTTAATTTTAGCGGTGCCATTGAGATTTTTAATAGATAGTAATGTAATAGTAACCCCGACTGTGCTATTATTTTCCGCTGGCAAGGCACCAGTAAGGGTTGATAGATGGAGGATGTATTTACGTCAGTTGATTCATCGTGATGAATTTACAGAATTTCTTTATTTCTAGCAATTTTGGGATTGCTAAATTTCATCATTAACAAAATAACCATTCCTTCTAATGTCATTGGGACTACTCCATTATGCCTTATGGATATTTTTATCAATTTTGAAACCGATAACATATTTGTAATACAATCCGGCCACGCCGACATGGCCGGATATATGTTAAAAGAGATAACTTCAGGAATCATACTACTGACTGTTTTTTCTTATATTTATCTCCAGATATTTCAATAGTAAAATAATGTTGTCAATTCTTACTAATATTGTAAATGTGAAAGTGTGTTTGTTTGTAACCTTATAGCGTCTTATAGCGCCTTAACAGCTTAATCAAGCCCTATGAAATTTAGTATTCGCGTATTGTATGGGATGGAGAAGGATATAGGCTATTTTTTAACCCGGTCAATAAACATATGTCTTGCAAACAAAGTCGCGGGTAAAAGCTAATACCTAATATTTTATAATATAAAAATTGTATTTGTATAGAACAAGCAGTTTGTATATCGGGGACATGACTACGAGCGTATCGGTGCCTTCACGCAACGATTGCAGTCGGAGTATGTTTCCGCACACATACTCATGCGCAACACTCCACCTGATGACTCCATTATTGCTGCAGATGGACAGTGTATGTTATTTTTTTAATTATTCTAAATATTAAACCTATAGACATAAGCAGTACCATGGACATAACAGAGTATACTGTTTCGCCCATGATACCCCCTATGCTTTGCCATTCCTGAGGACTCAGGTCTTATTCCTATGTACCCTGTAAATTCACGCCATATCCCACCCTTCAAACCGAAACACAACCATGCAAACACAACTGCTTTACGGTTGAAACACGAATGGGACAGAGGTACCCAGGCAAACGACTTTTGGAATGTCGTTTCGTCATTTATGTATTTCACACTTTATTGCACCAAGTAAAAAAAAAAATAATAAGTACAGTATGAGAAGTGACGCAAAAGGCGGTCTTATCGTTAAGCAATCTCTTCCAGACAACCTTTGTGTAGAGGATATTGAGACAAAGACAAAGCGTAGGTGACTCACTATTATATTATTTGTCATTATTCCTATCGCCTTGTTAATGTCGTTGTTGCAAAGGGCATAAGAATATTAACTGCATATTGTACAATTTGTCATCTCAAATGCTCCTATAAGTCAGCGTACAAGCGTACAATTATATCTATGTTTATTACGTTTACAGTTAACTTAATCTTATGATTCTATATTAGAAAAGACAAGTACCTCCAAATACTGATATTATTTTTAAGTGGTGAATTGTGAAAATATGTCTTACATCATACTATTTCTTTCTCAACTTCAGATATCCAAATCTGCAATGTAAAGCCTGTTCCCGCACCGCGCGTGTGGCCTTCGTCGGCACCAGAACAGGTAAAAAGGTTCTACGCGTGTAACGACGTGGATACGTTCCTTTGTGACCGGCCACTACATAAACCACCCATCGACAAAGATAACGAGTTCAAGGTATACATCTTAACTATTTCAAAAGTTTATATTTGCCCAATTTTTTGAATGTACATACAGTTATATTTTTTAAATGTATTTTTTTTTTCTCTTTTTTACAAAATTATTTCACTGTAATTGTTGGGGAGTATGACATTTCTCAGTTTTATGGTGAAAAATAAATAAATAATTGTCTTGGAAAAATACAATTTATTATTCGTTATTTGTTAGAAAATTATGCAATGAAAAAAACAAAAGCAAAATAAAAGAAGAACAGTGACTGATAAAATAAAAAAAAAATATAGGGCTATTAAAATAAAAAAGGTTGCAATCTTCAACAGTAATATACATCTTTAACTCTTAACATTTGATTGTGATGATTTACTACTACTACGAAAATCATTTTCAGAGTTTGTGGATTGAACGCACTACACTAGTCACTGAAAATACTCTACCTGGTATATTACGTTGGTCGGAGGTCATATCAAGATCTGTTGAAGAAATCCCGCCAGTAGAGGTTAGTTCGAAGCACTATTTTAAACTACAAAGTATGATATTTCTTTTTTTATCTACAACATAGAATGCTGACGCTGATGGCCTACCTGATGGAAAGTGGTAACCGTCGCCTATAGACACGAGCAGTAACATGGGCATAACATAGTATACTGTTTCGCCCATGATACCCCGTTATGATTTACGTGATGCGTTACCATTTTTTTTTTATACGAATTAGAATGGCAAACAAGCTGACGGCCCACCTGATGGAAAGTGGTAACCGTCGCCTATAGACACGAGCAGTACCATGGATATAGCAGAGTTTTTTTTATTCAACTTAGAATGGCAAACAAGCTAACAGCCCACCTGATGGAAAGTGGTAACCGTCGCCTATAGACATGAGCAGCACCATGGACATAACAGGACATAACAGAGTGTACTGTTCCGATCATGATGCTCCCCATACGTTACTGAGGACTCAGGAGTTATTCCTCTGTACCCTGTAAATTCACACCATATCCCACCCTTCAAAGCGAAACACAGACATGTAAACATAACTGCTTCACGGTATAAACAGGAATGGAACAGAAGTGCCCAACCAACCTTCCTAAAAGTGCTAAACCACTTTTGTACAAAGTCTCCCTCTGGTGATGTCTTAAAAGCGATTTAGGTAAGGGAACAATTCATCTATAGTTCAGAGAGGGAAAACCCAAAATAAAAACGCATAGTGGGTCAGCGTGGCAATATTGTGACCCTTTAAATATAAAAGTTTTTTTTTTATGCTACATTTTGATGCCTTAACGGCTTAACCAATCACTATGGAATTAGGTGTAGACTTGCTATATTGGATGTAGAAGGGTATAAGCTGCTATTTATCCCGGTCAACCAACATGTCCCGGTTACGCGGACGAAGTTCTTCGCCTTCTGCTTGTTTGCTATTCTAAGTTGCATAAATAATCTAGCTATATATCATTTAATATTGTAACTTTGTATACCATATGCAATTGTCTATTGTAATGTAATTATCTCTCTAATAATCTTTACTCATGACTTGTCCGCTTACCCGGGATAAGTATATCCTTCTCCATTTTAATTAGTAAGCATACACTAATTTTCGTGATGATTGCTTATGAGCCATTAAAACACCAAGAGATAAGAAACAACCTTATTTTTAAATTAATAACATTAGTAAGGATGAGGTGTAGTGGAGAGAAAAAGAGTGAGCAATACTAAAATCACAAACCTATCAATTTCGTGTATATTATAGTATATGTTGTCTATGTGTAAGTATATTTGTTATTTATATGTATTTATTCATTTATATATGTGATTTTAGTATGTATATTTATCAATAATTACTAGTACCGCATTATATATTCTGAAATTATATTATAGTATTCTGAAACTTTCCTATGGTTAACTGGGAGAGAATGTTTTTAGCATTAAGTCCGCCATGTACACATATTTGTACTAATGAATAAATAAATAATAAAGTACGACAATATTTCAGTTCGCCTGTGAGACGATGGAGGCAACGGAACGCGAGCTTCGTAGCCTAATATCCCAATACACCGCGGACCCCTCACGCAACATCAATCCGTTCTCCATGCGATTGCAGGGCACGATTGACGCCAACGTCCAAGGTAGGCCTCTGTTACTCGTATTCATCTTTTAATTGTTTACGCTAATAGTTAATTAACTATTGTTGCCTGACTTTATTAAAATCTCGACAGTAATAAAATTTAAAAGGACTTTAACCAAGTTACTATATGACAACGGTACATACATATATATTTGTCACGCTTGTTTTCCTTTATGGTAGGCGGAAGCAAAGAAACGCCTAATGCTTCGACAGAAACAAAACTGCACATATAATCTTGATACATTTAAAAAGATTAATTTTATTTATTTATTTATACTTTTGGACACATTAAATAATGTCTACATTAAATTAATAATTTCATGTTATGTTTCAGTTGATCTTATTACTCTGTCTAGAGTTTTTTTTAATCGTATTACCCCTAATATACATATATAGTGGTATATATCTATGTATCTATCCTATTTAAGAGCTGCGCTCTTGTCGGTGAAGCTCTTGCCACTCACTACGATTTTCAGCGAGTCTCTTCACCTCTTGATACGACACGACACCAACTCCTTCCTTGAACTGCCTGATGTAACTATGTCTCGGTCTCCCTCTCCCCCTCCTTCTATCTTACCTTCTATTATAATGTTCATAAGTTCGTCGTGTCGTATCAAGCGTCCCAACATTTTTCCCCTTCTGTCCTCAATAGTTCTAATAATTTGTCTTTTTTCCTTAACCCTAAGCAGGACCTCCTCATTGCTAATTCGATTCCTCCAGCTAATTTTCTCCATCCTTCTCCAGCACCACATTTCAAAGGCTCCAAATTTATCCATTTCCTTCTGAGTTAATGTCCACGTCTCACATCACAAACACACATACAGGACGGATCATATAGAGATCTATCTGACAGAATATATTGCAAGCAATATAGCCGTTTGGTCTTATTACTGTTATCTATTAGGCGGTAATTATTAAGTAATCTTTGTCTTAGGTGGCATTACGAAGTACGAGCAAGCGTTCCTGACCCCCGAATTCTCGAGGACGGCAAGTCCGCGCGAGGCGGCGGCCGCTGCCAAGTTACGGCGGCTCGTCTCCTCACAGCTGATGGTTGTAGACGCAGGCCTCGCCTTGCACGAGAGGCTGGCGCCAGAAGAAGTCAAACCCTTGCATAGGCGAGTCTTTTTTCTGTTCTGAGATTGAAAACAGACCAATCAAATTATTTTTCTGAAATAATGTCTGTTACTCATTGAGTGTTTAAAAATTAGTATAATATTTCTTAATATTATTTTATGATTGTCTATAAATATATTATAATTATAAAAAAAATATATATACAAAAATAACTACCTACTTTTTGTACTATTGAGTCTAAGTAGAAAACAGTTAATTTTAATAGATCTATATTCTTCTCAGACGGCTGGTAGAAAGATTTAACCAACTGCGACAAAACTTGGGGCCTGGTCTTGCTCGCGGTCGACGACAACTATCGGAAAGTATAGTAAAGTAAGTAAATATGTAATTATTTTTTCTGAAAAAGAACAAGTTTTTTCTAATAATAATATATTATATATATAACATATTTACTCCTTCCATCGACGTTATTTCTTTGAATTTTACTATAATAATATAAATTTCGCGTGTTCTTAGTATTTTGCAACATGAATTTGATTTTCAATATAATTATAATTCAATATAATTGTTAAATTATATTTTTTACAGTACACCTCTACCGCCAGTGCCGTCTCTCGACAAGCGATCTCATAGTACACAGCAGAGTGAGAACTACTATGAAGATGGACATTTCTACAATAAGCCTATTGTAAGTATTTTTAATTAATTAAAAATTAATTCTTATTTTCTTGTTTTTTTTTTTTTCTTTATACACTGTGTTTTTTAGATTTTCAAAATTAAAAATATAATTTAATGATGAATTTTCATATAGTTAATTATTGCTGCTTTAAACTTAACTATATGACTTTTTGCTCTATTAGATGAAATTATCCATTTTCCAAACAGATTTAATATAAAAATCTAGTACCATTTATTCAACAAATAAAACTATGGCAGGAGGAGGATTGTTACAACTGGATTTAGTGTACCATTGCTAATAATATTATTACCCTATCGTAGATCTATTGATCTAACTTCAACCCTAAGGGATGAGTGCAGCTCACCTCCGTACGGGTTCCCTGGAAACTATTTTGGTTAATTTCGTTATGATCAGCCAACTGGCCTGACCTCGTCCTCACCTATCCCTCGCTAGGAGTGTATATTAATAGCATAGGCGATATGACCATACAATTTTCATCCATTGAAAAAAATTCTATGGCAGTATTCGCTGGAGGAGAGCGAGCAGCAGAGTATAATGTCGAGCAGTGCGCCGTCGGGCGGCGCGGGCGCGGGTGCTGGCGTGGGTGCAGGCGCGGGCGAGCGCTGGTGCGGCGAGGAGGGCGGCATGGCGCGGTCGGCGCCGCCGCTGCCCACTCGGCCCAAGTCGGCCTCGCAGGACCCCCGCAGCCCCACCAAGCCGCCGCACCCGCACCCGCACCCGCACCCGCACCCGCACCCGCACCCGCACTCGCACTCGCACTCGCTCGACAAGTATCGGTCAGTAATGCTCTGTTTATACATCTTTATTTATAATATACTTGTTGTTTCCCGCGGCTTTGCTTAAGTGAATCAGTATATAAGGTTAAAATATAATCTACCCGTATATCTCAACTTAAACCTTACATTAATGTTTGGCTCATACAAAAATAATTGTCACTTTCTTCATGATTTGAAGAATAACTAAAGACGTCATCTATTGAACCTGAGACACTTCCATTATGACGCAAATGATCTTAAAACTTGACACCAGATGCCGTCATCCTCACGAATAGTACTAGTACATAACTAAAAATATACTTACATACATTTTTTTTTTTCAAATATGTTCCACCCATTACGCATCTATAAAATTGTTACGTATTATAGTTAGATATGTACTGAATATATGTATTTTTTTGATCTATGTACCTCAAGAAAAAACCACCCCTTATTTTCGAAATTTTTTGCGACCTTATAATTGTTTAGATAATTATTAAAAAAAAAAATATATATATATATATATATATAGTAATATAATGCTAGTTGGGAGCTTTCATGTCGCTTTGGTTTTATTTAAATATCTATCATAGTTTCATAGAAAAATAATTTTAAAATTTGGGATTATAATTCCCATTTTCTAATAATGAATGAGGTTAAAGGTTTGATAAGTCATCAAAAATTATATCCAACAACTAGTAATATATTAAAGGCACTGATGTCATCAAGGACACACGTGCAGATTTCATATGGAAACATGGCAAGACCCTTTGTTCAACCACCTAAGTGAAAGACTACTCCATCCAAAGGTTGCCTGGAAGAGAGCTCTTAGCGATAAGGTCGCCCATAGTTTTTTTATTGTGATTATTTCTTGTAATTGTTTATATTTATAATAAGTTTACTATTGTAATCTTTTGGATGAAACAATAAAGAGTATCTATCTATCTAAATTGCATAACTAAGTTTAATTTTTTATAAAATTTTAAATGACAAATATGTTGTCAAACAAAAGGATGTATGTTTGTATAACATTAGCTTATATTGTAACAGGGAAACCATTGATGGTGAAATAATCGAGACACGTCGACATAGCCGCGCGTCGTGGAGTGAGCCAGGCGACGCCCCGCCTTTACCGCCTCGTGTTTCAGGTTCGTTTAGTCACTGTATTCTCTATTACGATAAATATTAATTAGTTACTGGAATATAGCGTACAAACTATATAAAATAATTCATGGAATGCATATACTAAAAATTCATATACTAGATGAATTGTAAATCATGTTTATTATTAATGAGTTGATATGACACTTTCTCTTTTACATTATTGGTATGTAAAATGTAATTATTAATGTTATTTAACTATATTTACCTATTGAAATTTATCGGTTAAATTACATCTATTTTTTTACATTAATTTTGTATAATATGTATATTAATAATCATCAACATTAGTGCTGTATCCTTATTTAATTAATACGTAAAATTTGCATGGCTACAATTTTTAGGCGATTTAACAGACGCCAAAAAGTTCTGTCACATGGCCTTTATTATATTAAATGTCTGTTTAAAGCAAATATTTCATTTCGTTAATTTCATTCATTTCGTTTATTGCGCTCATTTCATTCATTCCGTCATTTCATTCATTTCAATTTACTTTATTACGTATGGACGGATATAAGTATTTTACTTATTTTCACAGTACGTAACAAATGCTGTTACTGCTTATTACAATGTCAAAATGCATATCTCTAATGAATGAATAAAATTTAATATGTTTTCTTACAAAATCTGTTAAAAGTCAATAGGTAATTAAAAGAACAGAACATATAGAATGCAGCAACATGCTAATTAATACAATTTCAAAGTTTTGACCTATTTAGATGTTTATGTTCATTGATCATTTATTATTGGGGTTGAATTTAAAAAGTTATTCTCTACAACTAATTTTAATTTGATAAATTTTGGTGAAATTTATATATGTTACGATTTGATTCATGATTATATTATTATAATGAATCAAATTTGTTTTGTGGCTCAAATCTTTTAAATCTTACTCATGGACTTGGTTCAGGAAATGGCAAAGGATAACTGCTTATACATTTTTTAACTAAACACAAAATATACGCATGTAACACCTTTTTCTATAAGAAAGACAGTAAATTATGGACCTGGAAAAGTCCAAATAGCAGTACCAAAAATCGTAAGAGCAGAAGTCCAAAAAGACAGAGCATAAAAACTTTGTTCAAAAACATCTACTTAAATTAAACTATAATTTTATTATATCGCAAAAAAATAGACACAAAAGCGCATTTATGAATTCATTAATACATAACCAGTTGAAACTGTAAACGATATAAATAACTTGACTAAAGCGATTACGGCAGCTGCTGATGAATTGGGAAAAGTAGTAAAGTCGAAAAAGTCTATCCTGACGAAAGAAACTATGACGATCCTACAAATAAACGTAAGGAAATCATTAATCTATTGAACTTATTAAAAATGGAGGTCAAGTTGCTCTAAAAGAACTTCAACAGCTATTTAATGAAGTACTGGTACAAGGAGTGATACCTAATATGTGGAAAAATATGATAATTAAGTTCATATTGAGGGGTGACAAAACAAAACCAGCTAAAAGTAGGCTTATGCACCTATATACTATTTACAAAAGTATTAACAAACGGAGTCGCTATAAGATGGGATGATATCCAACCAGTGAAACAGGCGGGCTTTAGAAAAGGATTCTCTACAATTGATCATATATTTTGCATGAGACAGTTAATCGAGAAAAGCATTAAATACAGCCAGGAGTTCTGTTTAGCCTTAGTACATTACGAAAAGGCATTTGACACAGTCGAACACTGGGCAGTATTTAACGCACTACAAAGATGTTCATTAGATACCAGATATGTAGAAACCCCTTAAGAAATCTACAGGAGTGTTACTCTCCAGATACCTGTGTCCGGCAAGATAATACAATATCGTCAAAATTATTCACTGCGACCCTGGAGAATGTCCCCAAACTTATAGACTTAATACTGGTGCAAATATAAATGGAGAACTGCTGTAACACCTCCGCTTTGCTGATAACATAATCTTCTTTTTAAATTACCTGAAGAAATTACTGCTATGTTTGAAGAATTAAACTCTGCATCACTTACCATCGGCCTAAAAATTAACACCAGTAAGACAAAGTTTATGCGTCGAAATATTATTATCAAAGATATTCAACACGACTGTAATATAGAAATTATTACAGATTATATGTATTTATGCCAAAATGTGACACTCGAAGGAGACGGACATATGAGGGTGATTGAGAGAAGGATTCAGCTCGGATAGCCAGCTTTTAACAAACTCCCTAAAATACTAGTAGTTTCCAGTTTCAACTGAAGATGGGCAGGCCACATGAGCAGACGTGAAGATGGACTTTGGAGCCGTAAGATTGCAGAGTGGAGACCAAGAATTAGCCAGGGAAAGTGGAGAGACAATCAATGCGCTGAGCCGATGATATAAGTAGAACGGTGGGCAGGATCTGGATGCGGATGTTGAAGGATCATGTCATTGGCAGAATCATGAAAAAGCTTATACCCAATCCGAGTGAACTCGGGCTGAAAGATATAGAAACTTTTTAAAACTATCATAATGTTGAATAGATATTTAAATTGTGTTAATATCAAAGAGTAGTTCTACCGAACCAAATGACTAGATAAAGATGAATGTAATGAATAAATCGAATATGTCGGTGGTCAGTAGGCGACAAGCGTTCGTGGATGGAGTCGCCGGGTGCAGGCGTGGGCTCGGGTCCTCCGATGGTGCCGCGGCGGACGGCACGTGCGGAGCCCGAAGACCGCCGCAGCGACGACGCTCGCGACTCGGGCGTGTGCGTCGACACGCACGCTTACACCAACGCGGACGAACATCGACACCACCACAACGGTGAGAGCTCCTATCGTTTATCGTTCATTCTATTGTGTATACTTTTAATAGTATATGGTTTAATAAAGGCGTTCGTGCAACAATTTTTTTAGGTAAATACACAATTACTCGTTTCTATTACTATTTAGAGGGAGAAAGTGTGTGTATGCTTTATTTACACCACACATTTTACATTAATACCTATATAAATGCAACAAAGAGGCCTTATTGTTGAAATAAATGCATTATGCATTTTTTATAACAACAAACAAATTTGCTCCATTAAAAAGTCATCGTCTTCCTGCCCTTATACCACATATTTATTTGGGATCAGCATAATACGTCTTCATATTCCATGTGTCTTTATTTGCAAACATTTTCGCATTTATGCCCATTCTGACCATATCATTTTGCACACAGTCCATTGCAAACATTTTATAATTATATTATACTAGCTTTTACTCACGACTTCGTTTACGTGACCAGGATATATTTGCTTACCTTTTTATCTCCACTACATATAGTACGTGTATACAAAATGTCAAAATAATTAGTTAAACGATTAATACGTTATAAAGTAATAAACAAATTAACAAATTCATTTTCACATTTACAATATTAGTAAGGATTTTATATGTATTTAGGGTACGTTTTCTACATAGCCAATTTCAACACTTTAATCTTATTTTTTTGAATTTATTTGAAACTTTTTAAATAATAATTACTTTTATAATATTGTTAGGATCAGTAGTCCACTAAAAATAGATCTGAACGATTTGCAGGGAAGATCCACTAAATGTGGTGCTAAAAATAGAATAGTAATTGATATAACTAGATGTATTACCCTAAAATATTTTTATACTGTTGTCATTCCTATTTAAGAGATACATTCTTGTCGATGGAGCTTTTGCCAATCACTGCCATTTTCAGCGAGTCTCTTTCATCATTATCATCATCCTTTTCAGCCTTTAAATCTCCACTGCTGAATACAACCCTCTTGCCAGTAGTTGTCAAGTTTGACAGGTGCATTAGCAACCGCAGTCAGGCTTTAGAGATGTTTTAAGAGTGATGCTGCTGCCCAACCCTCGCCCTTCCTTAGTCGGCTCTTATGACAGCCACGAGAAAAGAAAAGGTGGCCTATTCTATGCCGGGACAACACGACTAGAAGCAGCAAGTCTCTTTACATCTTGATACGATACGACACCAACTTTTTCCTTGGTCTATCTGGAGTAACTGTGAGCCCTGGTCTCACCCTTCCTCTCCTATCTTACCTTCTATTCTTTTATGTTATAGTCAGAAATAATCATCTCTCATCATTATCATTAATCTTAATATAAAAATATTTCTCTTACAGATCTCGATCTAGCAGTAGAGTCTTTACGCTATGAGGAGATGATCTCAATGATATCGGAGCCGCTGAGAGTGGACGAAGACGAAACTCCACCGCCAATCCCACCCAAAGGTCTCGGACACCTCAGCAGCTTCGATTCTGGACACCACGAGAACGGCGAATCGCATTGTTAATACTATAAGGTACAATTTGAATCTAGAAGTTTGACATTCGACATATTGTTATAACTGTATACAGATTACAATATGTTGTGTCTTTTTAATTATATTTTTACAGCTGTTGAATTAGATATCTCTTCCCTATTTATACTGTGTCCATGTAACATTATATAAAAGCTGAAACTTGAGTAGCAGTGCTACCACCAACGCGGAAATGGCCTTTGGATCTGCTAGTGATGTAACTAGTATTGGAGTATGCCTATAATGCAATGACATGCAGCTATATATGTCTCAATATGGTCAACTATCAATTTATGGCGTTAGTAATAAGTGGTCATTTAAATTACATTTTATTCCGTTTCATACTTGTACATCATTGTGAGTATCTATTGAGCAGTCTTCGTTAGATATAAGTTATAATAATGATTACATGCCAAACTTATCTCTAAATAATAATTATTGTATTAACTTTGGGACTGTAGTCACATATGCTTTTTTTATACAAATAATGTGTTTCTTATATAATTCATTGATTTAAAGGGAAAATAAAAATAATTATCGAGATAGTCATGAAGTATACGCGGTTTTCGACGAGCGCCTATAAAATTTAAATTGAATTCGCTCAGATTGTTTGCCTGTTATTTTTTTCTAGGCGCTGAGGTTAACATCCAAAGAATTTGTATTTCCTTATTTAATTAAATGTCAGTTTAAAGTGATTTATAAAATCAATTAATCAAAATGTATAATTTGTAAAATATTTATTTGTGTGCATGCATATCATTCCGCGAATGGAACTAACTTTAAGCGTGTATTGTGTGATCGTCATCAATGTTTTGTATTCCTTTTTTTTCTGTTATATTCCATGGGCTTTTATTTACACATTTTATTTTGAATTGTCGGGGCCATAAATCAAGTGATACATAGGACAAAATAAGCATTTATATCTCAAAACCACATAAAATAATAATTTACAACTTTTCTAAATTCTATATTTAATTCACATGACGTGCTCACATGATGTGGTAATTATACATCATAATTGATCATAATTTTGTATTAAAAAGTAAATGCATGCATATACATTCTAGCCTAGTCGATATATTTATTGATATATTAAACTACCGTAAGCATTGCTCCTAGCTTGTCTTTATTTTATAATTTTTTCCTCTAATTAATAATGAATAAAATGAAAACACAAATTTGAATCATAGCTTACCGATTTATGAATATGGATGAAGCATGAAATTTATATGTATGTGTATATATACATACATATAAAGCCCTCTATACATATGTATAGAGAGAGGGCTTTATCACTAGGTTCTTCCTAATTATTCCATAAAAAAAAAAACTAGGCTACATAAGCATTTACATAGTATTTTTTTATATTTACTAAACCAATTTAATGGAGCACAATGTGCTAAAAATAAAACATGCCCTACAAAATTATTTAAAAAAATTTTAGTTTTAGACATAGATTTTGGGAATTATTTTATTTTTTCAATCATCTAATACACCCATAGTTTATGTATTAATTTATTTTTAATCGAATTCTAAACATTTAATAGATATGAAATGGCTAAGACTATTTAGATTGTTTTGTTTATTTGTAAGTACAATTAATGCATTTTTAAATTATTTCCAGTGCGATTTATATATACCAAATTATATTTAAATTTGAAGATTTGATGGTGGAATTGAATAAAGTTACATAATGTGATTAGATAGTTTCTATTTGAAGATTTAGTACGCTTTACAATGATTTGTGATAGTTTTCATTTTAAATAATAAATTATTCCTAAACAAAAGTATTAAAATTTAAAATATGATCCTCATTACTCTTAGTGTGTCGGTGTCAGACTATCAAATTTGTTTATTATGATCATTCGGTATTTTAATGAGATTTGTTTTAAAATATTATTTTAGAAAAAATTAAAATTTAAAAAATAATTCTATTCTATTAAAAATCAGTAGCTATATTATAAAATCGATTTTTTGCAAACAAATCAGTATCTACATTAATACAGCTCAATTAACGTAAGGGTTTTTTTTTATAATAAATGTCCTTTTTTTAGCACAAGCTTCTCAGGCAGTTATTACAAGTAGATCTCTGTTTTACCTATCAATTACAGCTTTATTACATTTATTTAATATTATAATTATGGTACCACAAAGCTATTGTGAATTTTTCCATTCGAGATCCACTGAATTTTTATTTTAAAATGAATGAAAGTCTGATATAAATATTTATTACTTACTGAGCAATTTTTATATTGCTCATTTTTAAATCCCCTTATAATGTTGTTAAGGCTGAAATTACTTTTTTATGTACATTATTAGGTATTACAACAAAATGCATGGTCTATGTTCAATGCGATTGTGCATTGATGAAGGTACAGTACTCTAAATGTATCTATTAATATATATTTAAAAACTTTATTATATCTTTTAAAACTATCTTCAAACGACATGTTTGATTTTTATCACAGTTTTACGTTTCGCTTTCTTTTGAAATTACCTTTATATATATATATATATATATATATATATATATATATATATATATATATATATATATATATATATATATATATATATATATATATATATATATATATATATAATAGATATGTTATTTATATTTTTACGGACTTCCTAAAAGGTGCAATTTTTTTAGTCTAATTTAACTTTAGTGTTTTTGTCTTTTTTACATACTCTTATTACAATATTAAATGTCTTAGATTTTATATAACTTGTGTCGTCAATTGTAATTTGCTATTTCTATTATTAGACTTTTATTGCCTATTTACTATTAATAAAATATGAAATAATAATTCCCTTCTCGATTAAATTTTTATTATATTTAAAAAAAAAATTGGCGTTTAACGAGCAATACCTCCTAACATTTTTAAAATATGTAGTTGTAAATATGATTTTATCTTATGCATTTTATTAAATGTTTATCTTAAAATTTAATATTTTACTTATTCATTTCATCGTATTTCAAATAGCTTTAACATTAAGAAGTTTTGTCTTCTGTAAAATTGTGTCCATGTTAGTTAGGGGCTAGATTAGGAGATATTGACAGTTAACCGTCATTATGTAATTTCCAATAATAAGTAATGAAATATATATATTATACAATATAAACTCGATAACAAAAGGAATAAATAACTGTGGAACAATAATAGAAATGACATTTGTCCATTATATAAGCCTTTACAAGCAAATACCAATAACCAAGTGATATTTTTTTATTATAAACAAACAGTAGTTTTTTTAACTATAGCTTTAAGTAATAATCTAAGACCGGTTTCCAACGAACACTGTCTTGAAATTTTACAGCTGTTTTATCTCTATACTCATATATAATGAAATATACTTACTATGTAGTCGGTTTAAAGTTCGTATTTTACTACATATAGTTATGTTGATATTATTAGGTTAAGCTTGGCCACTATTTTATATACAATATTATAGGGCTAGTCAACTGGTGGGTCGATTTTTTTTACTTTTTTGTTCACAACTGTCCTATTTAATAAATAAATTATGTGATTTTAGTTTTCAGGCGTTTGTGAATAAAAAATTATACCTACGCTATGTAGAAATAGCAGACTGCTTATCAATAACCAGTGAAACGGGCCCTAATAGTTATACATTCTTATACTTTCATATTTAACTAAATAAAATTAGGTTTGATTATAGAAGTTGTACAAGAGTATAGGGGAATATGTCATGACGCAGGGAATTGTTTTTTTTTTTTGTTTTTTTTTTATTTGCTCATTTATTTTTGGAATATGTTATAAAATTATATTCTATGTATTATTATCTAACGTCACAATATAGTTTCGAGTTGAATTAATAACATGGAATATATTTATTTATGTTGACGGAGAACTACTAGATTATATTTATAATTTATAATTATCATTATTACAAAAGAAATGAAATAAATTTTACACTGAATATGGATTTTATTATTCATAAAATCATAATATTATATAGAGAAATAATTATAATGACTTATTTATTTTTTTATTTATAGTAAAATGAGGATTTTATTGTGATTTATTTATTTTAATTTTAATATAAATGTGAATTATTAGTTTACACTTTTTTTTAGTAAACATGCTTAAATAAAATTATTATATGATTTTTTTTTTTTTTATACAAAATGGCAGATGGTAGTTCTCAGTCGACTTAGTTTTAGGAGTATCTAGCCATACAAGTATTAAGTTACCTAGTTTGAATGGATTTGACTGATGTTATTGTAATAGTTAATATTGTACGAAGTTAATTGATGTGTCTGATAATACTGAATCCTTTGTGTTAACTTTGTATATCGTTTCTTTTAGATTATTTCACTCTATGTAATATATTTAATTGGCTTCCTTTACGATATTGCACAAATATTTACTTGTTATGTACTTATATATACATATACATAAATAAATAACACATTTGGAGTTATACGATTTTTTTAATAATAGGTCAGTGATTATTGTATTTAGAATAATATTTATATATTTATAAAGTATTTTGATTATAAATACATATAAATAATGACGTTTCATTATATGAATGATCTCTATCTCTTTTCGTTGATCTCTTTTTCATAAATGTCCAAATATAGTTCTCAATTGAAGAGTATACCTATACATAAGTATATGTTGAAACTTCAAAAAGTATTGTCCACATTTTTGTATGAATATCGGAAAGGAGGCACATTATTAATCGTACCAAAAATTTCGTAAACTATTTTTATATAAAAAAAAATATTATAGAAATTTTATTATCATTTAATTAGTCCATGTTTGTAGTGTTATTAAATTAAGGCTCAACTTGTATTTTACTCTTTGTGATTGGTCTGAACCTTGTTTCCCCTGAGCTGGGTATAAGGGTATTTTACATTACCAAATTTATAGGATACAGATATATATTGTTTTGTAGTAGCCAGTAATATTGTATATATAGACACGATTTTTTTTTATATTTTCGGTTTATTATATCAATATCTTAACTCGTTAAAAATAAATGGACTCATTTATGATCATATATATTTGATAATGTAATATGACCCTTACACGAACGATAGCTGTCGCCAAATGAAATTGTTCAGTACAAACGCGTAGTGGATATAGTAAAATGTAACTAAAATCTAACTAGAGGAGATGTGAAGCCATTTATCTAACTGTATGTAAATGGGCGAAATAAATATTTAGATGGATATGCAAGTTGTTTTAATGTAGTAATTAATAACTTGACCCGCATGAATTAGATGAAGGTTATTTATTTATTTAATACTTTATTGTATTAAATAACCAGAGGGAGACTTAGTACAAAAGTTATTTGCTTGGGCACCTCTATCCCATTCGTGTTTCTACCGTGAAGCAGTTGTGTTTGCATTTGGTTTGAAGGGTGGGATATGGCAGTGAATTTACAGGGTACAGAGGAATAACACTTGAGTCCTCAGGAATGGCAATGCATGAGGGACATTATGGGTGAAACAGTATATTCTGTTATGCCTATGGTACTGTTTATGTCTATAGGTGGCGTTTCCACTTTCCATCAGGAGGCTTCCGCAGCTTTTTTCGTCAGCTTGTTTGTTTAAAATATGACAAAGCCAATCAAATGTACAAATACGAGCATAACTCTAAAAGAGTTCTCTTCCAGCAAACCCAAAGTGGAAAGGAGTATCAATGTCAGCGAATAGGGCGGTTTACATAAAAATGGCATAATATAAAAATCGCGACCCCTTCGAATTGGTAGCCATTTCAATTTTGTTCTATAGGCGGAGACATGGTCGTATTACGTAGACCATAGATACAGTCTATGCACACATTTTGCAATCTCTCTTATTTGTTCAAAAGCTCTTTAGTTGCATCAAAATAGGTTATGTCAGCGTTACAGGAAATGAAGCCTTGTCTCAGTCTTTGTCATATATACATATATGTCAGATATCATATGTGTAATCTAGAAGTTTACCTATATATAAATTTCCGTTTAAATTTGTTCAGCCGTTCGTTCGTTTAGCAATTGGTTTGATAATTTATTCTAGTAATAAAGTAAATAAATTACTTAATTTAGAAATTTAGAAAAATTAAAGTCACCAGCAAATAAAGACATTAAAGTTTTAAAAAATGTTTGTAACTATTTTTTAAAACTTTATTTATTATTTATATACTAAATTTTGAATACAGTTTAATTAGAATTTCAGGGGTTTGATTTCTTATTCGACAGACGTCCTATACAAATTTCTTTTCATGTTTATCTTGTAGTGAACGCATGCCCACGTTTTGCCAAAGATTTTAACAATCCATTGTAACTGGGCTGTTACCCTGTGTTCTATATCGCCGATCAATTTGTAGGAAAATTGACATACAAAATAGCTTTACAAATCGCACCCCAAACGATGTTGGGCATAATATTAGATGATCATAATACTAGCTATATATGATACACATACTAATCCGCAACACATAAATAGAATGGAAATAATCTTCATTAACTTCTTTATAACCTATTTAAAATCGTAAATTTTTTATATTTCTACTGCTGAGTTCGGAATATTGTTATCTGATGAGGAGAACTGCTGAAATTCAGCCGTTAGAAGCTCAACAGTTACTCTTTTCAAATTATTATGTAGGTACAAGTAAATTTTCAATTTGTATGGATACTGTGTCTATAATTGACATTATATTCTATATATATATATAATTGGAAAATAAACAGACCAGTCCCCACGACAGCATCGTCATACTTGTGAACGGGTACTGTAACCGTTCACGAGTATGACAGTGCCAGCCACCACTGCGGTCAACCATATTTTAGAAAACTCAACGACACGGCCAATCACACTGCCTAGCAATATTGTAAAATTGTAAGTACGCAATACTTTAGTCATTAATATCGTTTAAAAGAGAAACTGAAAGTTCACTTCGCCTCTTGCGGTTACCAGAGGCGCGTCGTCATGAAGGATTATTGTATTTACCGATTGAATTTCTAAATAATAAGCACTCTTAGCCTATAATTGAAGGTAGAGAGCGCGGACACTGCCACGCCTCCAGAGCTACGCACGCTACACATGGCAGACTATGTGCAGATATCGGAATCCGAAGATTTTTCTTAACAATAATTAAGAGAACTCATAATTTTTTTTTTAATGTTTTTTTTTCTTTATGCATGAAGATGGAACTGTGCAAGTGAGTGCAATGTTTCATTATGCCAATAGTGTACATTGATGGTGCACCAATGGAGGATGAAATCGGCCTATCATAGCGAATTTACTAAGACTGTATTTTTGGAGTGCTATAATCCATATTTACAATTTATAACCATGACACGGCGCTATAGCGTATTTTCCATCACGTAAGAGAACAAAATGTATACAATTGTATGAAAAAAGAATGACAATACAATACGATACCATGTAATGATAATAAAATAAATAAAATAAAGTCTTTCTGTGTATATTTATATTGATGTTTTGTGGGTGTTTGTCTTTACTTTTTCTCAATCATTTATTATTCAAACATTTTTTTTAAAAAAAAACTTTTCATGCAATTTAGAATAGCAAACAAGCTGACGGCCCACTTAATAAAAATGGTAACGGTAAACTCCTAGTTTAGTCCTTTACTTATAACAAAGTTGAACTGTTTGTTATGAAAAAAAATATTACAGTTAATCATGAGATATATCTTGTAATCGCAATGTCATGTGTATCACAACCTATAACTTCTCAATAGCTCCGCCTCAATGGTACTCTTAATGGACGGAGAGTGTTTGACAAAAATTGACACCATAATGAGGGGGAAGCGCGTGCTGAGGCAACGAGAGCGGTGTCGCAACAAACTCATTGAAAATCATCGTAAGTGTTAACCGCGACCACATTGAAATCTGATGTTAAAGGTCTCTGGGACTTACGAATCACTGTGACCTTTTAATTAATTTCAATATCTTTTGCATTAAATCTTATCTGAAAAAAAAAATAACAAAACAAATTCTCTCTCTTCTCTATTATAAATAAAAAATAACATTACGTAAAAAGAAATAAAAATCAAATATAGAATCTGTAATATTCATACTAAATATGCCACTTGCATTAGTAAGTAATTTTTTAAATTTCGAACACCCAAAAAAAAATTATTTCTTTAGCATTAATAGCGACTGAGATATAACGATGAAATGAAACGCCTAAATAACGTTGCAATGGTCCATCATAGTGTATATTTCTTATTTCTTCATCCGTACATCATTACAAGAAGTCGTTTTATAGGTATGCCATTATAGGATGGAACCTTAAAACCACTTTATACTTCATTATATAATAAAGTATAAACCAGTTAGTAATTACAACGATTTTTGCCCTAGGTTATATATCTAGCCTATTCTTTAGACATACAGATAAGCAGATATCTACATGCGAAGAGAGTTCATACATCAATAAGACATTTACCCCATTAAAACCAACTGTGTTCATGTTGGACACTTATCCGGCGTTAATAACCTCTTATTAATTGTAAAAATGAATGGACAACATTAAGTGGAGCGTAACGTGTGAAGTTACGATCGTTGGAAACATATCTACTAGTATATAAAATGCACTGCGGTCACCTGCCTCTCTTATCTACCCGTTAATTAATAACAATTAACTTCGCAGTGTCAATAATTAAAGCGAAAATAGGTGCGATGATTGCAATCTACTAGTCGTTTAACTATTGAGACGTTACTATTTTAATATTTACTTTAAACTATGTGTTTTGCTTTATAACTTTAGTAGGTTTATTTTATTTATTTAGTGGGTAAAGTCCGCATAAATAAAGTTATAAATTTAAAATAAATTAATTTCAAAATTCTAATAATAGTTTAAAACGTGTATGACAGCCTTCTCCCCCTCCCCCCAGGACAAATAAGTTTCGCTGTGCGTTCATTTTTTAGGCGGGAATTCTTAACTCCTCTATCAGTGAATACACTTACATATATACATACTTGATTATAACAAAAAGAAAATAAACTTGTAAAAACCTATTTATTTTAAATACGTATCGACAAAGAAGGATTGTTGGTAGGAATAACTTATAATTTAAAAATAACACCAGCCATGTTTTATGTAAAAGGTACCTATTATTCTTAATCTATGGTAAATATTCAGTTAAAAAAAGAAGTGTATGACATAATTAGTTGTCACAGTAGCCGCCGTAGCATTATATCAATTAATTGTAATTAATAAAATTCTTTTTATCCGCCATAATGGCCCTCGCATTGCCAATGGAGTCCAATCCAGACACGATGAATAAATATTTGCTGAAGTTGGGTGTTTCTGATCAATGGCGTATGGTTGATGTAATTGGTTTGGAAGGCGATGCACTGGGTTGGGTACCGCGTCCTGTGCTTGCTGTTATTTTACTTTTTCCTCTGTCGGAAACCTATGAACAGCTAAGGCGTCAAGAAGAAAGCAACCTGGTGAACAAAGAAATCCCTAAAGATGTATTCCATTTGCGACAAGTTCTAAGCAACGTATGTGGTACCATTGCATTGGTCCATAGCGTAGCAAACAATATACATCGTATTGATTTGAAGGATGGATTACTGAAGAAGTATCTAAGTGAAGCCGAAGGTCTAGATGCAGCAGCTAAAGGAGCATTGCTTGAGAATTCTACTGCAATTCTTAACGCTTATAAAGAAATTGTTCATACAGAATCAGCTGTAACTGAAGATTCCAATGAGATGCCGAGCAATCATTTCGTGACCTTCATCCACAAGGACGGTACGCTCTTCGAATTAGATGGATGTAAATCTTTTCCTATAAATCATGGTCCGACGACCTCCGAGACTCTTCTAGAGGATGCTGCAAAAGTTTGTCGCGAATTCATTGCTAGAGAACCAAATAATCTTGGCTTTAACGTTGTTGCTCTCGTGTCTTCTCAGTAAATTTATTTGTCATTCTATGTTGGATATTTAATAAAATAATATTTTGCATTAATTTATTATTACGTTTTATTTTCTGCACAAATCAGCAACGGTTCGAAGAAAGTGAACGTACGAGTATATAAAACACGCAAGCCTCAGCACTACGAAAAATGATGTTCATTAATTCTCTCTTCGTTAGCGAATATCAGAAAATTCAGTTAGCGTGTGAGTAGGTAGGTACTGGACGGCTGCAACTCTTTAATTCATAATTAATCTCGTTGCATTTAACAAATCGCCTTGCGCTGTTTGCAACGGTGCACGCCTTTACGTCTCAATTAAGAAATCCGCGCGCACTCGAGACATGGCTCCTGCATTCCTCCTTTAAAATTCTCTATCTTCGGAAACTAATTAAAAATTCGCCTCGCCTCCGTAGCCGGGTGTTCAATCGGGGCGATATAACTTCATTTAAAAACGAGAGAATCTTGTCCAAGATAAGAGCTGGCCAGAAAACAACGAAGAGCAGAGCTCGCCACACGCGGCAGCGACGCGGTCATACAAAAAAGACAAACCAAAGAAAGAACTCTAAACTTTTAAATGGAACGCGAGAGAATTCACCGCGTTAACTATGTCGATACTGGGAAGGACGCGACATCGGTAAGTCACGTCACCAAATAAATGACATTGGACCTGAAATAAATATATAAATATTGTGTAAATAAAGAAAATAATGCGACGGGGACCCGAAATGCTTTAAATATTCAAATGAAGCGAGCCGAGGTGAAATACGAAGGTGCGCTCGCTCGAGTTGAGCCCAATTAAATCGGTGCCACTGAGGTTGAAATTAAAAACAAAAGGAGGATGACGGGGGTCCGGCGCACATTTTTCTCATGAGTATTATTAGCGCGATGTCAACCCACAAAAAATGGAGTTAGAGGGTTGTCGTGCCCGCGATCATTATCGATAACATCCCGCGTTTTGTATTGTTTTGATAAGTGTGATGCTGTTGAGTTCGGACGTTTTGTTGACATTTTACATTGGGATTACACATTTGATCGATATGGAGGTGAATTTGTTACGATATTCCATTCGAGCTTTTGAATACCTACCTGAACTGTATATACGAAACAATGTGTCAATCAAGCGCTGACGAGTGTTAGTAACATGAATAAATAGCTGAAAAACAAAACCTCAAACAGCATTTGGTACGGTGATTAGTCATGGAGAGGCCTGGTGAGAACAGATTTAATATTTGCCTATAAATCAATTACAGACATGTGGTGAACTCGCTTAGCGCTCTATTATAATAGATGGGTACTTACTCCTTTCTTTAACTTTGAAGATAAATTACAAGTACCTAATAGTAATGACTCCGTATACATTTTTGTACCTCGATATAACAAAAAGTATGCGTTGGATAATATCATACGTCACTATACATATTTAATCAAACATTTAATTAAGAGTTTACTTTGCAGCAAGTCTGTTGTTTACATACCATTTTATGTCGATAAGCTATAAACCTTATTTCAATTGTAATTCGCTATTAGTTCGATAGATATGTAACTAATCATCAAAATGTATATAATGCCATATGTAAGGATCATAACAAACATACAACGAAGCCGATTCTAAGACATGAGAAACATGTCATAAAACTTATCTTTTAACCTAATATTTGAATTCACGTAGTAATTGAATTCAAAAATTATCAAATTTCGCGAATATAAACAAAATTTATAATAATTTTGACTTAAATCTGTTAGAAATTTTGTTCATATTGGCCGTTAAAGATTTCGCTGTGATATCAATTTTGAAATTTTAATTTTAGAGAGAGGTTTAGAGAAATGACGCTTGTGTATGCAATCTGTAGCATGATAAGGTCGATCGAAAAACAAAAAGTTTTTAGGCGTAATAATATTATTTTCTCTATAGGCACAATGATTACCACTTTGCAAATGGGGTTTTATTTCTGCAGGATCCAGAGAAGAAGAAGAAAAAAAAAAGATCTGAACTAACCTGTCATTATCGAACAAACCGGGTGTTATCTGGGGGTGGAGTCATGATTCTCCAGTAATACTTAGTATGTATGCATGAGATGAGTTGTTAGAAATATGTACTTGCCTAATATATACAATTCTTCGGAATAGATAGATTTTCGAAGCCATAATGGATTTACTAAAACTAAAACTTACATTATGCTGAATTGTATATGGTTTCAGTATACTATGAATCTACTAGGATTCAGATTCAGAAGTAATAATAATGCATATATTCTGTATTGGACTAGTATTTTCCATTTTCTCAGGATAATTCTGAAAGCCTACTTTTTACAATTTTCTTATAAAATCCCTGATATTTTTGAACTGGATGGATCAAATTTATTACATAAATTAACCAAATTCCAGATTAATAAATAAGAATATTTTTGAACCTAATTCATGACTGTAAAGCCGCGATATGGAAGCTAGTTTCAAATGAGGACCAACAGACAGAGTGACAGACATCCATCCATACATAGTGCCTATTATCATAAGATTCATTAACACCCATCCCGACCTCTACTAGCACCCGCTCGATTTATTCAAACAAAATACATTTATTTTAGACAATGAGGATCTAAGTGCTTATTGGGAGAGATGCATATTAAGTGATGTCTTGCGATAACGTAATAATCTCTAGAGATGTGTTTCATTGCTCGATAATTGAGTGTAGCCTTTTAAATTTGAAACAGTATCTTCAATGGACGTTGTTTTTACCTGCACTCGAGATATGATTGCATGAACGACGGTGCGCTTGGAGCATGTTCACCACGGGGGTTCCTCCGCGGCCTACCGACGCTCATCACTATTCAATAAGCTCCATTTATTGAAATTACATAATTTGTGTGTGAATAATGACGATTGTGATGAATCTTCGTGGGCGATGCGAACGACTTAAACCCGATTAACTTTTGACCGCTGTGTGATATTAATATTATGGTATTCTCGACGGCTCGCCGAGGATAATGACATGGAAATGGTGTTGCCTCGTGCACGGTTCCTTTCTAGTGTGGCTTGTTACTATTAGTCAGACTAGAAGGGAGTTTACATATATACCTACAGAATGGGTTTCTGAGATGCGGCAGTACGGTTGGTAACCTTAACCGTTGTTAAGAACTCCTTCTTATGGCATTATTATTAAATTATAAATAAATTTTGATCTTCATTTTAGTCGGTCAGATTTTGTCAGTGGCCGTGACTACATGGTATATACAGTGGTGAATATGTAACATTAATTTTGTCCTACTGTGACGTATTTTGGAATATACCTAGACTAAACTTATTTTGATGTGAACAATTATGTCTACATCTACTCGACTACCAATCTCTACTACTAATATTATAAAAATGAAATATTAGATTTTTTGTTTGTTTGTTCGTATTGGGTAAACAGAAAATCTATATCAATTTAAAAAAATCACCTATAGAAAGCTACTAATTATAAGGGAGCTAGATATTCTTACGGATACTATATGTACTAAGTACTAATATAAATACTAAGTACTAATAACTACTAAATTACAAAAATGTAACCTAAGGTATCAAAAATTTCCTTATATCTTTCTATCTATACACATACCTTCAAGAAAAGAGTATATTCCTTTTTAAAAGGCCGGCAGCACACCTGCAATGCCGCTGGTGTTGTGGGTGATCATGGGCGGCGGTAGTCACTTACCATCAGGTGAGCCGCATGCTCGTTTGCCCCTGTGTTGTAAAAAAAAAAACCTATTCGTGCAAGGTCGGGAAAAATTGCTTTTAATTTTTATAAGAAACACAAGAATTGCCAAGAACAATAAACACATCTCAATCACGTGGACAAAGTCGCGAGTAGAAGCTAGTAAAATATCATTTGATAATAAATATTAAAACCACAGTGATAAAATGAACAATATTTGCATGTAAAGATTTGTATTATTTTATTATGTACAAAACAGCTAAGGAATTATTTTATATACTTGAATATGATAAATTTGAACCTGCTTAGTGTAAATGGTTATTTTTTTGTCATCTTGACGCCATTTAGCATTATTAATGAGTGTTCTGGGAATGTTAATAATCTATGCGAATTAAAAGAGCCAATAAATAAAACATAAAAAAAAAATATACTATTTATTGTGCTCGAACATATGTATTTATCCATATATTTGTGTTGTGATACATTGCAAATATAAATTCACAATGTACATTACCGAGTCTTCTTATGAATAAAACATAATAAGCAGATGTGTTGCAGCCATTTTCTTGAATTGGACACTTTTTTATTTTACTATTTTTACAGTAGTTATATAATGAATTTTTATGAATAATATTAATGACTTTTACTAAAATATAAATAATTTTATTTTCAAACCGCTATCGAGTATCTCTGCACATCCTAAATGTTGACTGTTAGAGAATGCCTCTAGCACTAAGTCCGTTTTATGTACCACATTTTATTGGTTTTTTTTAATGGGTGATAATGGAATGGTAACCCCGCCCGCGCTATCGGTACACACCGGCGGGGCACCAGTGAAGGATCATCCTCACCTATCAGGTGAGGATGAAGCAGGTCAGTTAGCCCATTGTGACGAATTCAACAAGAATTGTTCACGATGGTTTCCAGGGGGAACCACGTGGAGGTCGACCTGATATTGCTAGCAATGGGTTCATTAGACCCCATTACTAACAATCCCTTTCCCTCATATTTTATTGGTTAATAAAGTTTAAATGAATAAATAAATGATTGAACTTATTGGCTATTGGTTCAGTAAATGTTCAATTCATGCTATTAATTAATATATGTATTTAGATGCAATTTTCAATCCATGTCTTTTATCCTTTTCACATAACAGTAAGTAGTCAGTGATAAATTATTTTATTTATTTTACATATGCACTCGTAATAGACCTACTTAGGTATTGCAGGTTGAACACGATCTATAGCAGCAGTTAGGTATTCCATTCCTTTAGCTATTAAAATTCTAGATTCACATGGCAATAACAGTACTAAGCTTTTG